ACTTGAATCTTTTACTCCTTTTTCTTCCCGTTTGTGTTCTTATACTTCATCGTATTGATTTAAAGTATCAAGTAGATCTCTTTGACGTGATTTTTTCTTTTATTTTAAATATCTTCATTGTATATAATTATTATGGTAATCATCATTATTCAAATAAAATTGAGAAGAAATAATAAATTAGCTATTTAAAGTGTATTGTGAACTCTTATAGTCGAGTGGATCATTGTTTAGTAGAAACAGTAAAAAAAAGTCGGCCAGTAGAATGTTCTACAGTATTCGTTCAATTGCTCCGATTTCTCCAAGAAAAATCCAACTTCTTTTCGTGCAACACAAAGAACTGGTATATCTGTCTGGTACAGTCGTCATCGATGTAACCAGACTGAATCTCTTCTACTTTGCTATCTTGCCACATGCACATGCATCTGATTGCACCACCCATTTATAAAGACATACATGCGTGTTCTATATTGTGTACCTTCCATCTTCTGTATGGTGATCAATTTGCTGTATACCATCCGATCGTGTTCCATCGCTCGAGGGATTCGAAACAAATTCTAGAATACCAATTGGATACTGTGAATATCACTGTATTGAATATAAAAAGGATTCATAGCTGTGTGGCACAGTTAATTAACATACTTTCTTATTATATAAATAATAATAAACAATATTTTCCAACTAATTAGGATGAATAATAACATAATAATGAAGTATGAACAAACAAATAGTGTTTAAATTGGAGTAATTGTTCGTTAATAAGATCCACAGGGTGTCAAGATATTGTAGATACTGATGTGACATCGTAAACGTGTAGTGACGAGGATGGTTTAATGTTGCCATTACATCCTGCGCCTATCTGACGCCTTGTGTTGTATTTCAACACTCTAATAAAACAAATTGGTCGCTCTGCGACGCTTTATCAAACCTAAACTGACACAAGAACATCAGTGTTCTCGAACTATTGTTATATTTTATCTATACTTAATTGAAAATTAGTTATTAAAAAGAAATATTCCTAGTTTATATTGAAATTTAACTGATTTTCCTTGAAATTAATTCTATAGAAATAACTTTCGATAGACAAAACTTTTAATTAAAAATTTATGATTTTTTTCTTATTCAATGAAAATGATATTTTAATAAAATTAACTACGTAAGGAATAATTTTTTCTGTCTATAGTTTCATTACGTGACAAATAATACCTTATCAAGCAACAGTAAAAATTATCATCATTATCAGGAATAAAAAAATAAAAACATCAGAACATAAAAAAAATATATATATATATATCTACTGAATACTTCATTAAGAAGATTAAAAGGAAGCTTAACACATCTCGTGGTTTTACACATAATTAAAAAAATATATATATATGAGTAGAGGGAGGGAGTTTTCAAGTTTAATGGTGATAATTAAGTTTGTTGAATAGTTAGTAATTAACGATCATATCTGCCGATGATTCGAGAAAGCGTGTCTCTTTTGTTAGGAAAGCGTGTCCGTATTATGTACACTTTTTTCCGTCACCATCCCTCCCATTACTTCCAAGTCAATCAATGTATTTCCTCTTTTTTATGTACTTTTCTGATGGAAAAACTTTGTAGTTAAATCACTTATTTAGACGCTAAAAAAAAAAAGTACAAATAATAGTGATGAATTATTCAGCACGCTACAGTATTGACTAATACTCTGAAGTTTACTTACACCTTGTATTAGTCATCTATTGTATCCGTGTCGTCTCACATGATGATTATTAACCAAATTTAATAGAATTATAAATGATTACATATAATCCATTTTATAGCCAACAGAAAGATACAAGTGAATAGAAATGTTCATATTAGTGTTTTGTATTATAAAAAATGTGTAATCCTCGATTACTAAGGGATTGAGTTGATGTACGGGTGCTCGTGATACTAGACAATAGCTATTGTAGAATTATCTGCGAGGTCGTGTCACGGCTTTTCCTGTTAGACGTTAGCCTAGTTGCAAAATTCAATTAAACAAACCCCCTTCGTTGCTTTTCCTCTTTGCCATCGTTATTCTTTTATTTTGTTTCACTCTAGACTATTTTCCTCCAATCAACCTGCTCAATATATCAACTTGAAAATCCGACAGTTGCTTCAAGTCGACTCAGAGACTTGAAGAATACACAGGTGACATATTGCACTGAGCATTTTGATTTGTAAAATGCAGAAGAGCATTAACTTTATAAGAACTTGAAGAATTGCGTGATAAGTATATCCTGACACACCCTTGTTACCTGATATCTTTGGAGGCGGTGGTAGCTTTTAGCCAAATGACGTAGATTTTATTATGAAATTGACTTTTAGGGTGTGGTTCGAACCCTTGATCTAATGGAGTAACTAGCCTCACCCATTTACTATATCTACGTATTTATCGTAAGCATCATCTTTGATATAAATATAATAATAACAGATATTCTTCCATAGAAAAAACATATTTAGATATGTGTTCATAAGTTTTTGAGATAATATAAACAGCTACGAAACAATCATAGGTTTAATCAAATATAAGAGTAATAAATATTAAACAAATATTGAAACATACGTTACGTCATTGAGAGTTAAAAATTAAGTTGTTATTTTAGATATAAAATATAAAAGAAGCTTTAGTAATCAACATCATGAGATTGGGAAAAGTTTTTAATTAAATATTTTTTTAATTTGATCTAGTGACACATGGTATATATATATTAATCAATAAATCACTAAATTAACTTAATTAACACTCAGGATGTTTACGGATGTTATACCACACGAGGGAGGATAAGGGAATAAAATTTTCTGACCCTAGAATTACATTGATGTACTCATTTAAACGAAAAGAATACTCATTTCAGTAAATATTTATTTACTGGAGATCGTATTCAGTTAATTAAAAAATAAATATATATATATAGATTAAAAAGTAAAGTTGTTCATGTGATGAATGATATATGTTTTATTGACTAAATGACAGTGTTTTTACTAGACTATATCTTGTCAAGCTCTTGTTGAAAGTTTTTAAATAATAAATAATCAAAAAAGATATTATGCACTTGTGAAATCACTTTTGTAATAAAAAGTATACTTATTTTCAAAAATAGTACCAGGAAAAACATAGATTACTAAAAGACCATTTAAGACACGAGAAGTCCAACAAACTGATAGTTAAGAGTCACGAGACCAACAAAACCGGTTTCACGTGTGTATAACGCGAACTTGAACAATTTACTTGTACAATCGTAATTTTCATCGAATTCAAATATCTCAATTATTTAATATTGACGTATAGACAACTAAATAACAATCAAGTTATTTATTTCGTCTATTTTTGTGTTTTAAAAATCAATTTTTTATTTATTATCTGTATAAAAGTTTAAACTTTGCTACAAGATATTTTGTATTCTACTCATGAATGCCAGGCAAAGCTAACGGATCTTTAGGCCGCGGTTAAGTAACGGGCTTCTTATGATTACACAGTTTGAGTCGTAATTTTTTATCTTTTCTGCTGGTCAACGGTATCATTTATATAAAAAATTTAAAAGACACTTCATTTCTCTAAACAATTCTTCAATACAATGTGATTTTAATTAGTACTTTAGTTTATATGTTTTTACAAGAAAAAAAAAACCTAAAAATTTGCAGTTATAAATAATTTATTATCAATAACCATAACATCCTTACAGTCATAAAATTTGTAATGTAAGGAAGTGATTTACAAAAATTTACTATCTATTCAATGATTAAATTATACAGTAAAAATCACGAATACTAGTAGTATCATTTACATCTTAAAAGACATTTTATATTACCTTCATTTTGTCTACCTAGCGGTACAATTGTTTTGAATATGTTTTTTTTAATGATTCATCTTTTAATTTAAATGAATTTCAATTTATTCAGCTTAATCATATACTGTAAACTTGAATCTGATACTGAAAAATCAATAATTGTCTCACCAATAGTTACTATCACCCATGTATTAAAACTTTGTGCAGAAAGAAACCTTAAATTTTACAATCGTGTATGATTCACCCATCCGTAGGTCATTAACCTTTTCCTAATACGCATTTTTTGCTGACTAACGAGTTAAGAAATCAACTTGCCAATTTTTTATTTTCATTACTGTTTTTTATTTAGCATTATTCTTTTATAAAGTTACGTCACATTGTAATGGCTAATTAGTCAGAGATTATTATACTTAAATTTCAATTATTAATGAGGGTTGAGATATAATTACAGAGATTTTTATCTATGTATGTTAAAAAAAGTTGTATTCATTTATGATTTAATAAAACTATAAATAATGTCAGTCAAGTAGAACCAAGGCTAAGGTCAATAGTCGAAATGCATCGTTAACTCGTATTTTTTTGGCCTTAGAAGTAAGTCGTGTTACGAATCGTTGAGTTTCAACCTTACGTTATTGAAATTACGTAGTCGAAAAGCGTTACGATTCCACAACCGTATGCACAATGTTTTCGATAAGAAAGTAACCAATCTTTATGCTTTAATAATCACGACCATTCTCAAGGCCGTAGTCAATAAAATTTATGTAAATGCTTGCATTTATCAAAGATGCATATCTTCTATTTCTTACTCAAGTATTTTTTAAATTTCCTCATGTTGTCAACAAAGTAACTTTGATTTTTATCTTAAAAAATACCTTGATAACAGGAATCATTATCCTGTCCTATCCTTTAATTTACTAGTTTACACTATAGCCGACCAAATTTCATTCTACCGTTAGTACTCAATTAACGTCCAAAGTAACTTCAGAGCAGCCTATCGGTTAACATAAAGGCAAACATGTTACCGGTGAATGTCCGCGATAGGTCATTGACTTATTCTTCAACGGTTGTTAACTTGTATAAATTTTGCCGATATGAATGAAAATTCAAGTTATTTGGAAATAATCCTACATACAGAAAAAAATATGAATTTTACATAACATTTAAATAGGACCTGAATATTAATAAATATATTTGCATTTATTTCAGCAACTGTTTCGTAGTCAGCCTCAAGGAGCTACTCCTCAACAGCTACAACTACTCCAACAACAGCAGCAACAGCAACAACAATATCTTGCTTCTCAAGCTCAGCAGCAACAACAACAACAGCAACAGCAACAACAACAAAACTTTCCAACAGCTCCATATACAGTAATAAGTGGACAAGAACCATATGTGGGTGCTTTAATAGCTGGTGCACCACCAGTTGTACCACAATATTATGGAGTTGGTCCTTGGGTTTATCCAGCAGGTTTACTGCCACAAGCACCACCGCAAGCTGCAGCTCCACCACCACCTAGAAGACCACTAACACCTTCTTCTGCAGCCGCAGCTGCTGCTGCAGCACAAGATAGTGCTAATAATCTTGCACAAACAGTAAGTATCACAATTAAATTGGTCGAATCTTTTTCTAAACATTTTTGATAATATTATGTAGTTGAAATTTATATTCATGAAATGATCTATAATTTTTTTAAACTTTAGGTACAAGGACAATACCAAGTAATACCAGCTTACTATGATCAAAATGGATCGATTTTAATGGGTGGAGTACGAGGTCTAGGATCTGCTGCTACGCCTATGAGGTTGGTGAGTCCAGCACCTGTTCTCGTTAACAGAGCTCCATCTCAACCACCACCAGGACCCCAAGCACCACCTCCACCAAGTCTATATTCACAGCCTACCTCAACATCCCACAGCAATGCTACTCCAGGCGAATGTTTGGGTATGATTCTTTTTATACTTTTTCACATAATAAAAGTTCAATAACTAAATAATCAGTATTTGTACATCAACTTATGTAAATTTTAATTCATATAAAAGTATTTAACCTTAATACTAAAATTGTAATTGTAATTAATTAAAAGTAACTACTTGTACAGGTATACAAACATTTTTTGTCTAATACTTGTAGTAATGAAATAACTTAGTGACGTAAATAAATACCAAAGAAAATGTGAATGTAACTAATATTATATTGAATCAATAGCTTCTAATAATGACATACTAAAAATTGCATTTGGGTAATGGGCTTTTGGTGCAGGTCTCGCGGCCGGAAGTGCGGCAGTGATAGCTCAAGCTCAAGCGGTTGCTGTACAACAAGCACAACAACAGGGTACGGGACTTGCAGCTGGTTTAGCAGCTTTGGGCTACGGTGGTTCACCACTTGGTGCCCTTGGCTCGCCGGCTCAACTACAGAGCACAGGTATAAGTTTGCTCTGTTGTTGTATATAATCATCAATCAATGAATCAAATCAATTAATCTTTCTATGTGCATGTTTTTTGTATAGTCTCTAACTTGACGTCAATGTAATATTAAATTATTTCACTACGATTATTTTATAATATTTATGAATTATTCTTCATATAATTTATCAGGTTTAGGACTTGGTGCATCATCAACAGGAAGACGAGATTCATTTGATAGAAATACATCAGCATTTAGTCCAAGTCTAGAGTACAGCCGTGGAAAATGGCCACAAAGTTATGGTGCCTTAGGTAAAACTATGATATAAAAGTATTTTTAATAGAGATATTTTCATAATAATTTCTCCATCATATCATCATTTATTATAAAAAATTTCTCATTTGAAATCCAAACTTAAATGCAAGGATAACGACTTTGAAATTCATTTAATTTCTCATGAATTTCATAGATAACTGACCTTTCATCGATTGGCCTCATTTTCACTCTATTTGAAAAATTCAACTATAAATAGATGAAATATTTGCATATAATTAATTATTTTAATTATTATGTTTATGCAGGAACTGTAACGGCTTCACCTAGTCCCTTGGGATTGTCTTTAACACCACCTCCTACTCTTGGTGGTTCTTTAGGTGGATTAGTTGGAGGACCTAGTCGAGTATCAGCAGCTCCAGGTGCTGAAGCTAAATTCCGAACAAGTACTGTGCCTACCTTAACAGCAAATGGAGTATTTGGATCTAGTAGCTCTCTCTTTCCAAATTTGGTCGGAAAGCCTGGACGTGGTACTACTTCAGGTGTAGGAGATAAAGGAGCAGGTCGTTCACGTCTACTTGAAGATTTTAGAAATAATCGGTTTGTAAACATTTTCCAATTTATTTGAACTGTTATGATATCATTTGAAATACAATATCTATTTATTGTTTCTTTATAAAATACATCGCTTAAACTTTATCATCAAATAACTTGATAATTTATTTTTTTTAGTTTTCCAAGTCTTCAATTACGAGATCTTGCGAATCATATTGTTGAATTCAGTCAAGATCAGCATGGCTCACGTTTCATTCAGCAAAAACTTGAGCGTGCATCAGCAGCAGAAAAGCAGCTCGTTTTTCAAGAAATTCTTTCTTCTGCATATTCACTTATGACTGATGTTTTTGGAAATTATGTTATTCAGAAATTCTTTGAATTTGGTACGCCTGAACAAAAATCCACTCTTGCTCAAAAGGTAATTATATAAATAATATTTGTAAAATTAATACTTGTATTAAACTGATGATACTTTTTGCGTGTCAATTGATATTGCAAATGATAAATAATAAATTCTGATAATAATTTGAATTAATTGAAATGAAATAAAAATTGTAAACAATTAATATGATTGAATATGTATTCAATTAGGTACGAGGTCATGTATTGCCTTTGGCTCTTCAAATGTATGGTTGTCGAGTAATTCAAAAAGCATTGGAATCTATTGGTCCTGAACAACAACAAGAGATTGTTCGTGAGCTAGATGGTCACGTTTTGAAATGTGTGAAAGATCAAAATGGCAATCACGTCGTTCAAAAATGCATCGAATGTGTAGAGCCTAGAGCACTTGAATTTGTTATTGGCGCATTTGCTGGACAGGTGTACTCTTTGAGTACTCATCCATACGGCTGCCGAGTTATTCAACGTATTTTAGAACACTGTACACCAGAACAGACTCAAGGAATACTTCAAGAACTGCATTTAGCGACAGATCAATTAATTCAAGATCAATATGGAAATTATGTTATTCAACACGTGCTTGAACACGGAAAAATTGAAGATAAAGCTCAGCTTATAAATAGTGTTCGAGGAAAAGTGCTTGCTTTATCCCAACATAAATTTGCGAGTAATGTTGTTGAAAAATGCGTTACTCATGCTACAAGACAAGAACGTGCTGTTCTAATAGAAGAAGTATGTGGTTTTAATGACAAGTAAGTATTATCATTGTTATTTGAAATTCATTTTATTATTTAATAAAATAGTTCAATTTACATGATATTTGTTTTTCGCAGTGCTCTCAATGTAATGATGAAGGATCAGTATGCAAATTATGTAGTTCAAAAAATGATTGACGTTGCTGAACCAGCACAACGCAAAGTGCTAATGCATAAAATACGACCGCATCTTAGTAGTCTTCGAAAGTACACATATGGTAAGCACATCATTGTTAAGCTTGAAAAATTTTTCATGAAGACAGCATCAGCTATGGGAGTATCAACACCTGCTAATACATCAAATACGTCAAGCGATCTTGGACCTATTGGACCACCTACATCAGTTGCTGGTTCTGTGCCAACACCTACTCAACAATCGACACAGGTTCTATAAAACTACAAATTTGATCATTTTTTTCTTTAAATCAAAAAATTAAACAATGGCTCTTCACAGCCAATGACATCATTAATTTATCCAAATAAACATTCAATATAATTTTGATGATAAAATGGACAAATTCCGTTTTTTTATAATGTCAAATATTTATTAAAATTGTTTTGATAATAGAAATTTTTAAACATATTTCTTAATTGAAAACAATTTTGATGAATATTTAAAAATTGAAAAATTTTAAAAACTACATGATGCTATTAGAAGAAGAATGAAAAGAATGTTTAAAAAAATGAAGTACATTAAAAAGTTTCATTATCCGATTTTTCATCATACTTTTTACGTATGATAATTATTTTAAATTCGGCCAGAAATGAACCGAATAATTACTGCTTAATAAGCTTTTTTCCGAAAGAAGAATTCAAGCTTAATTTTATTTTTTGCTTATCCATTTTTCATTAAAAAAATGTTTAACCTGCCTCTTTACTAAACTGAGGCTTTTCTCTCATTTATTTACACTGAAAAACTTTCAGTTATATATTAAAAATAATTTTCTTTTACTTTGGCGTTTAAAGAAATGTAAGATATCGATTAAATAAGTCGATATATATATTCTATTTCATTTTCATATATTTTTTTTTTTTTTCGTTAAACGTTTATATATCTTTTAACAATTTTGATCTTAATGCAGAATTATAGAAATGAGTAATTACTTTATAGCGATTATTAGAGCTTGAATGTTGCATACATATATTGAAATATTATCAAATGTGTTTGCAGGAAAAAAGGAAATGATGTCAACAAATATTTTTAGAAAATTATGGAGTTACAGATGACAAAATTTAAATATTAGAAAGATGATAGCGACAGTGAAACTTACTGTTCTTACTATTAATCAATACTTTGATCCTCATTTGCTTTTATTTTAATTATTTTTGCTTTAAATAATTATTAACACGATCAATGGAAGCTATATACGGATGTAGAACGAATTTAATAAGAAAATCAATTAAATAGCTTCATTTAAAAACAAAATTCTTACACATGAGCGTAAAAATCAAGAGTTCATATACAAAAAGAGGTTTTTAAATAATTTAAAATAGGTATATTCGTCCCCTGTTCCTCCGCGTGAATTTTGTAAATTGTGATATAAATAATGAATAACGAGATGTATAGAAACGGCAACCATACCTTTTCACGTACACACAATGTCGTGAGATCAGAGTAACTTTAAATATTTCTGCTTAATTAAACAAAATTTTTTTATAAACATATAAATATATATATATATATACATATTATATATAAATATCTTCTGTGAGACTATTAAATCCTTTTAAACAAAGCTTGTGAATATCGTGTATTATATTAATTACAGTTAAATTAAATTTAAAAAAATATCATTTAAACTTGTTCTACGATAACTCAAATCAGAACAAAAAATTGATTTAAACATTTATCATTTTTTATTCCTATGTACAAGTAAATCCCCTCATCCATTCAAATGACTTCATTGTAAAATAGAAAAACTTTATTTGACAAAGAGATAATGCTCTAGCAGTAATCAATCCAATCGAAAAGCATGATCAATATTAAATATTGCGATAAATTTAAATTAAATTGTATATTGTAAAGAAAAAAAAATGAAACGCAAAATTGTTAATGCTTTTTTACAAGAAAAAAAAATAATTTGAATAGTTTCATACAAAATACTGATCTAAATCCAATCTTAGATGTTTATTTTGTCTTACATCACATCGTTTTTTGTATTTATTTATCTCTAAAGAACATTCTCGTTAGGCTTTTATTAGACAGATCTTATATTTATCAATGATAATATTCTCGCAGTAATTATCATATAAATTTTGTGTTTGAAATTTCATATTTTGATTAAATAATCGATTCTTTAAACGTTCATTTAAGTGTGGTTTTATGAATTTTTTTTCTCAGATTAATGATAAGAAAAATTTTTAACATCCAGTATGTACAACAAATTCATCTGCCATTTCTTATAAATAAAATAATGTCGATTAATGACTTTTCAAACGCATTTATTCTTATTAAAGATGACGAAGAACACTAGATTTAACAAGAATTTAACTCGAGTTGCATTTTTCTTGTATAATACATGTAATATTTCGTTATAATTTAGATGTGAAATAAAAGTAAAAGTAAATAAAAGCAACTCGACGGCTTTTGTGATATTCTTATATAGAGAAAAAGATAAAATAAAACAGAGGAAAGTAGTGAAGAAGAGAATTTCTGGCATATTTTTTGTATCATATTGTATATAACGATTTAATAATAAAATTGACAAAATTTTAGGATGCTCTTTTTCCCTCTATTTTTCCTCCTACGAATTATTCAACTGAATAATTCAAAGTAATTAAATTTTTTTTCTCTCGATGAATTTGTATAAAATAATTACTGCGGTGAATTACTATTAATTAACTTGAAACAATGTCGAATAAAAGCCTTAGAGAACAGTAATATCACTGCGATGAATTGGAATAGACATTCCACAAAATCTATCTAAAGATCAACCGCATCGATTAATGTAATAAATTGTGAAACTACAAAATTATAAAAATGTGTAATCAGTATAAGAGTGTAACAACAATTAAGGAATTCAATCAATTCTTTAATCCTTTGTAAATCACTCGTCATCTGTAAATTGATAAGTGTTTCATCATTTATAAAAATGAATATAATGATGTTACATGTCGTCAGAGTTCTAATGGTAAAATTAATAATTATTAATATATTTAATTAAAAAGTGAATACATAAAAAATTGGTAACTGTTTTATATAGCGTATTATTATATGGAAATTCATTGTTTCAAAATAATTATAATTTTTTTTCAATATTGACAACTACTCGTTTATTTTAAATATTGTAATATTATTAATTAGTGCGATTCTTGTATCGTTCATTAATGCTATATTTATAGCGCTAAGCACTTTTTCCATATATATATTTGCATATACATACATGTATGAAACGTAAGCAACATTCGCATATAATAATTTATGAATATGATGTAGAATCTTTGACATCGACCCAATATCCTCTCTTTAATCGATTTCCAATTTATTTTCTATTTGTAATACTTAAAAATAATGTTTGTAGTGATCTTAATACTATTTATCGCTTTATCTATGTAAGTTTGGTCTCAGTTACAAAATGAAAATGTTTAAATTATTTTTTCATTATAATCCCATATGTAAAATGTAAATTTTTTATATAGCGCAAAATATTGAAATTAATTATTAAAAGTTATTATTACTATAATTATTATTCTTATTTTATTTAAACTCAATGGCAACGGATTGTGTAAAAAGAAAATTCATTTCATTCATAATTACATGAATACACAACTTTTTTTGATCTCCACAAATATTACTTTCATTTTACTCGTTTATGCCAAAAAAATTTTTTGTAAATTGCACGTTTTTCGGCTTTTCGAAATAATAATATTCTCCATTAATAATGAATAAAATATTTCATTATATTTTATACAGGTTTTTGGATAAATAATCAGCAAATAATTTTGAAAATGAAAAAAATTTTAAGTTATTTTTGTATTCATAAAATGATATAAAAATGATTTTTCTTTCGTTTGGTTGTTAATCAGTCGCTAATTTTTCTCTTATGTATGAAATTGAGTATTTTCTCTACTAAATTACATTATTTCAATATGTCTAATTGCTACAATTTTATCAGGTTAACGTATAAACAAATCATCAAAATGATGAAGTAAAAAAAAAAAAATGTAGCAAAAGTATATTTAAGAACTATTAGCGACAAATTCAATTTTTTGTTTATCTCAACAGTTTATTTTACTTCAAATTTATTTACATTTAAAAGTGGAGAATATGTCTCACTAAATTGACATCGCTGTAAATAATTGTTAAAAGTATAAATCATTACAACTTTCTGTATATTGTTCATTATTTAAAAATACATTAAATAATTTTTGTAATAAAGTAATGTAAATGTCAATTCGACGCTTTTTTTTGTAACACATTAACGTGCCAATTGACTTAAATTTTTTTTTTCAAGTAAAAAAATTTAATCGAATTTATTTCATTAGTCGTTGTAATATTTAATTTTTCATCATTGTTAATTAAAATTTTTTTTTATTCATTTTCATGAATTCATATTTCATAGAATTATTCTATAGCAACCCTGGGTGATGCTTCGAGGATTCTTATTTGCATTGTAACACTTGGGAAATATTTTATAAATTGTTTGCATAATTCGTATGAATATTGTGTTTATAAATATAAATATACATATATAAATATATAAATATATATCTGTATATGTATACCTAAACATTTTAGAATACTGGTCGATATAACGATACATATAATAAGTAATATTGTAACAATTGTATATGATTTTATTACTATTATTACTATTACTATAAACGCTGATTGTATTATATATATACATTGAAGATCTGTGACCTCCCACTTTTAGTACATATTGTTATATAAACCAAAATATAAAAATTAATGTAGTAAGTTTGAAAAAAAAGAAAAAAAAACAAAAAAAAATACTTATAAAGAAATAATAATCATTATTATGATTATAATTCCGTACGTGCATGATCATGTTCCATCACTTAAAAAAATTTCAACTGTTTATTAACAAAAATATAAACATTTCTTCAATCAAATCATCTATGTAAGGATAGTGCGTCCTGATATTAAGACTGATGTACAGTAGCGCGCTATTCAATTAAGTCACACACAATTGAATGAAACTAGAAATCATCATTAAATGCAGTTAATAGTTTTTATTTGTCGTTAATGTAATAACCTGTATATAGTTGAAATTGTTCACAATTTAATTTTCGTATATAACTTTACAAATGTTGTGAATATAATCATAACACCGATAAGTATCTTTTAACAACATATCTTTATTTAAATATTGTCAATCTTTTGTTAAATTAATTTAACATGTAATTAAAATTTGATCTCAAAAATAATCATGTTATAATCGTTGTTAAAGATATTTCTTCGTGTTAAAAAAAGAATCCAAGAAATATAATGATGAGATGTTGAATTCCACTTACATGACAGAAAACATAATAATAAAAGGAAAAAATTGTGTATCACTGACAAACGATAATATGTATTTAGATAAGTGGGATGGCCAAGCATATGAATGAATAAATATGAAACAGATTGCATACTTTGTATATTAGTGTATAGAATGTAGAAAAAAAGAAACAAAATAAGAAGAAATAGTTACAAAAATGAATCCATTTTCGACAATGTTTTTTATAACAGGCAGAGCAGTGCGAGTAGATAATGTTAATGTACGATTAAAATGAAAAACATTCATAAGCAGTTTATAAATTGTATTAGATAAAACAAAGAAAATTACTTTTCTCTTCTCTAAAAATATCTGGTTCTACGTTATTTCACTATGAATTAACGTACACTATTGAAGATTATCCAGCACGTAAACAAAAATAATTTTTCAGGATATTAATAAATTAAATGCCTCTTTTTTATCATGTCGATAATAATTTGAATGTTTTTAAATGTAAACGTAATTAGCTACTCAACGATTCTTATTTTTTAGAAAATTTCCCGATTTCAAAATAAATGAAATGTTTTCAAGTAAACAATTTTCAGAAATCATAAAAAGGTGAAGAATTACAAATAGTAAAAATCACCAGTAATAACTTTAAAAATAATGAGATTTCATTATATCATTAGAATTATTTAGTAGAGATTTCAATCTTGATTAATACTTTTATTTTCAACTCATCTTTTTTCGGACTTACAATAAAAAATAAACCATTTCAATTCTTCTTGATTCTTTTACGTATTACATGCAATTATTAAATAAACATAATAATTGTTGAACAACAAATTTCCAATTTGTCGAGATTATTTTAATTTTTCATGATTTCATGTAAATGAAATTAATTATTGCATTTATCATGAATTGGATTCATTAAGATATTCGGAAAATTCTGTTCTATTGATATTGAAAAACAGTACTAATTAATATGATATAAAACATTACCTTTAGTATATTGACATTAAATAAATAAATGTATTAACTGATAAATTTTAATAATTTCATTATCATCTGTTAAAGTAAATATTGAAAATTCAATAAGAAACAGAAATGTCCGAATAATCTAAATTTGTCAATCCATTAATAAATAACAGTTAATTACATACAAACATATGCATACATTAAAAAAAAAAAAATTAAGGAGTAATCTCAATGTAACATATATATGATGGCTGTACAAATGTAAGATTTTTTTCCATTATGTATGATGATTAAAAACAAATAAGATTCTAACTATTTGATAGAAAAACTTAAATTCGTATGTGTGCAACGATCGATGTTTAAATTAACCAAAAACTCGAATACAATAAAGGATATTAAATATGAAATTGAAAATAAAAATTGATGTCACCATCGATCGATTCACCCGCGAGTGATCGAATTAATAAAATTATTATTACTTTTCATTACTATAAAAACACGATTTCTGTAATAACATTATAATATAAAACCATAAATTAAATGGCATTACATCTTATGCTTTAACACTTTTACTTCCTCTTAGTTTCCCTGGTTGAAAAATTTTTGTTAACTTGTATGAATAGTCTTATATTTACAATAATGATTATGGTATAAATTTAATTAGAAAAAGATGTTGGTTAAAAATAGATAGTTTTTTGAATTTATTTACTTTAAAAATTTTATTTTTAATACTATGAATGATTAAAACTCGATTTTCTTTTCATTTAATATAGTGTTGCATGAGCCACGCTCGTTTACATTATTATACTTATACTAAAATAGTACTTAAATTTTCACATTAATTCTTAGAGATTAATTACAATAAAAATTCACAAGAGTATCTAACATTTATTCACTTTCTTCTTTAGATCTTTCTCGATCGGAACGTCTTGATTTTTTCTTTCGCCGACTTGGGCTGCGTGATCTTGATTTATGTCGTCGGGAACGTGACCTTGATCGATGTCTATGTCTGATAGAATAATAAATATTTTTTTATGTAAAGAAACTCATTTAAATAAAATAAGGAATAATTACCTTTCTTTATGACGATATTGTGAACGTGAACGATCACGATCTTTTTCATCTTCTTTAGATACAGAGTCTCTTTCACGTTCTCGTACAGCTGAATCTTTGTCACGTTCACGTTCCCGTTCTCTACCCATCGAATCTGCATCTTTTTCATTGCGATCAGTTCGTACTTCTCGTGCCGGAGGAATTAATGGTGGAATCGAAATTGGTGGTACCATTGTTGGAATAGTCTTTGGTCCTAAGTCTTTTTCTTCTTCTGTCTCAGTTAATGGAATGGCTAAATTTGTAGGTTGCCAAGTCTAAAAAGGATACAATGTACTCATTAAAAAGATGAACTACGTAACATTAAATTATTTGATAAAAACTTTATAAACTTACTGGATCGTTTCCCCATTGGCTGTCTTGTGTGGGTTCATAACTTTGATAATATGGATCCGGTTCTGGCATATAAAAAGGAGCTGGTTCAGTGTATCCAGGTGGAGGAATATCAAATGCAGGTGGTATACCAGGATTAGGAGGAGGAACACTCATATCAGGAAAACCTGGTTTTCTTGAATATTCTCGTCTGTCAGCTGTCATCACTTGTATAACGTTTTCCTTTGGTGGTGATTTATCAACATTTCTTCTGGAAGCCAAACCTGAACTACCAATCACATCAATAGTTCCAGCCATTTTTCTACCAGGTGGAGGTCCTGCTCTTTTAGGCCCACTTATTCCTGAATATTTGCTGTTGTCGTTAGTAATTGCAACTTGAGGTACTCGTGCGTTAATCGAACTATTTCCACTTGTGCCAGTATTTAATACGAGTCCTACTCCAGATTCACTTCTCATTCTTTTCTGACGTTCACAATAAGCTCTCCATGTGTCTTCATTGAAGCCATAATTGAAATAATCTGTTATATCTGCACCTGGTTGTCTCCAAGGTTTATCTTCTAATTGATCAAGATTAAATTCATGCGCTGGTATACCATTTATAACTCCAATTGTTTCAAACTCATCTATACTAAATTTTCCTGGTTGTTTATTCAACTTATCTGGTATACCAGATGCATTTGATAAAAGTCCACTTCGTTTGATGTTTAAATTATTATAAGCTGGAGCTGATTTTATATCTCCTATTACTACGTGAACGTCATCATCTGAATCAGAATCACTAACAGCATCAGGGTCTTCTTGATTAGTGGACTCTTTTGTGCCATTTTCATTGGCTTTCGAGGACATTTCAGAATCCTCATTATTTAAAGCCATAGAATCATCGTCTGGCGCAGGATCTGTTTTCTGAATATTTAAAAATAAACTTTAATACACAAATCGACAAATTTAAGTAATATATTATTTAATATTTATATACCGGTATACAAATAAACATTAAGGTTATGATTGCTACTTACTTCAGAAAACCTTTCCAAATTGTTTTCAGCATTATTTGTATCAGAATTTTGGAATTCATCTTGATTTCCAACAGACATCGAATCTTTGTTATTCTTAGATTGCTCATCTGCTGGAAAATTGTCTTTTCCATCACTGGAATCACCGTATAACCACTGATCCTCATTGTCGTCCGCCATTTTTATACTTTTATTTTTTTGTATTCACGCAGTCACGGCATCAAATGAAAAAAAAGATTACTCCCTCCTTAAAAACACGCATCACTATTCTTATATCTACCATCAGATGGAGACACGTGATCCGTACCACACATTACGGTTTTTAAATAAGTGAACAGACAGGTGCTTCTTTATTTTTTGTAAAAAATAATAGTATTGTCTTATAAGAATATTTATTAATCTAAAAATAATACAAAAAGTAATCAATCTTTTATTATCCATAATAATAAATGACGAATTTGGTCAAATAAAAAATAAAATATCAAACAGTGAGCAACTATTGAAAAAGATTTAATTTAAAAAAATTCCTTGCATAATGCTGAGTCTATGGATGTTGCTTAATTTTCTCACGTCAGCATAGATAGGTATGAGAATATTTAATTCAATAATCATAATTAAACATAATATACATAAATGAAACGTTAAAAAATGAACTATAGATAAATACGACTTCAAAAAGTTTATACTAAAAAATGTCAAATATTAGTTTTGAAAAATTTCATAATTTCATAACTACTCAATTACAATTAATGTATCTTTATTATGACTTCCTTTGAACCAGCTTGAGACGCATCGGTTGCTGATACCATCTTATAACAAATTTAAATTTGTTTTGACATCGTCATCATCAAGATTCCATCACATCAAGATAATTATATTTAGAAAAAACAATTAACTACAAAATTAATCTAGTAAAATGAATACACATACATATTACTCATATGTCAATGGCATTGAATAAACTTTTAGCCTCTATGAAGTCTACTCAACCTATAGCAAGAACGTCAGATTCTGATAAAACTGTAACTTATTAAACTTTCACTATCTACTATTGCTAGTTAATACCTTGTCAATATTATTTTCAATAGCATTTTAAACATAAAATAATTCTTTTACATCATAATAATAGCAGTATTTCATAAATTTATAATATATTTTTTTAAAATGACAAGAAACATTGGAATTTTAGAGTAATATTAAGTATTCAAGAGGTAATCATTGAACAGTGTAAAAAGTGTTTCAATTTCCAATACACTGTCAAACATGCAACAACGATAATAATTGATAAATATTATCGATTTACAGCTTCGTCTACAGCTGACCTACCTACTTGTGTAACCATTACATATACTACATATACTTCTTCATCAAGGTATGTCTAAGCACATACGCATTACTATATAATATTTGAACTAATTTTTATCAATTTTTTCAATGTTTTACTTCAACAAAGGTGCATTTATAATTAAGAAAAATGCTTTGTAACGATAATATTTTTTAGAATGACTTTTTGTTTACAACTGATGCGTATTTATATGATTTAGCACCATTTAAGTATTCATAAGAACATGCGTTGAGGAATACATAATAAAATCTTGTACATGTTGATGATAATACGCATTAGTGTTTTACTACACGTCGATGTCCTCAAGCTTTATCTTTATCTGTAGGCAGACAAGAAATATTCACCTAATGATAGTCCTATCAGTCATACATCTATCGTCACTCTTACCAACAAGTTGTGTATGATCTTTTTACCGTTTTATTCTCAAAAATATATTTACATTAGTCAATGTGTGTATTTCCTGTTGTAACCCATTAGTTTTTTGTGTCTATTGTTGGCGAACAACAACAGCCTACGTGAATTACTCAGGTAACGCTTATTCACATACTTTCAAGTCATCACATTGACGCGTATTGAATTCGTAGAAAAATATTATTTTTATTCTTTTTTTCATCAATTATTTTTGATGGCTTGTGTAAAAAAAAAAATTAATCATTAAATTGTTAAGCTTATTAAATAATTATAATCCCACCAGAGCATTACTAAATATACATGATTACATATTTTTTTTTATGTTTATTATTTATATTTAATAGATTATTGATGAAAAATTATATAACTTATAGATAGAAATTTATTTTAAAAATAAAATAATATTTATGTCCATATTATTAGTTAGCTATTTTCATTTATATTATTTATATTTTATAAATTTTATTTTTAATTTCATCAACTTAAATATTTGATTTCTATGACTCAGGTTTATGCTTTTTTATCAAAAATTCAATATGGTGAATGTTACATTTTTTTATCGACTCAGCAGATGTAGTATCCATTTATTCTTGACATTCATAGTGGTGGATTTATATGCAGAAACCTTGTTAGACCATTAGTGACGATGATACAATAAAGAATAAGGGCTTCAGCATTATTACGTATTTTTTCATTGCATGTTCATGTAAAATTGAATAAAGTATTATCATTTTACCCCGAGAAGAGTTTCAGTTATCTGATTATCAAGTACAATATTATTTTATTGAATAAAAACTGTAATTTATTATATTAAATTGTTCAACATGTACATGAGTACATAAATAAATAATTATTTTCCTCATAGATATTTGGAATAACGAAAAAATATATGTCATTGAAACAGACATGATTTATATATTAAGGAAATTTATTATGCATATATCAATCGAAAGTTGAATCGAAAAAAAGATCTTTAATTACAAAAAATTTTTTATGGTAAAAATGGATATGAAGTTGTAATGAACATTTAAAAGTTTCTATTTTCGATGTATTAGATTGCGCGTAAATGCATACGCACGCGCACAAGCTCCAAAACGATATGATGCGCATAAGATAAAAGCTTAGCGCAATCGAGTTCATACGTCGACGGCTCGTCGACCTAGAGTAGACTGGAGAAAAAAAAACGATAGGTATAGTGAGAGAAAGAGGACACATACATTTTACAAATCAGTGCCAAAGTGCGCAAGTGAAAAACGAGGTGGAGTAAACAAAAGAAGTAGGGAAGACTATCGTTCCGGAAGTCGATTCATTGCGAAGACAACTCATTGAGTCATTACTCCATTATACTCTTGTTAAATTGTGTGGTACGATATTAATATCATTGTTCTTTGTTATATTTCTTCAATTTTCTTTGTTTTTCATTTATTTATTTTATTGAAACTATATTTTCGCGCGTAATACCATTTAATGATGAAACAGCTGATGTAAAAATGGCGCGTGACAGTTAGCGTAAGGTTAGATGTGTGCGACTAATGTTCTTTTTTTTCAATCAATTGTATTGAAATTTCACTTTCTCATTTATTTTGATTGAAATCACGTACTTTTATTTAATTGTATTGACTTAAATCTTGAGTGACATAATTCATAAGTGATACATCAATAATTGAATAGTTTTTTTGTATGTTCAATGACATTTGAAATTAAATTAAATTTAATGAAAAATTAATTTCAAGCTGAATGAGGCTGATGGAACCCCTTGGTATTAGCCCTGAAATCGTTGATATACGTACATTGACACGATGGGCCGAAGTACCAATTCAACATCGTTACACAGACTATTCAAATTCTTTGGGAGAAGCAAATCATTACACGGACTGCCCTTTTCCATGCCAAACTTCGATCAATCGCAAGATTGCATTATGGTATTTATTCTATTACATCAATAATAAAATTATCAATTAATATCGTAACGTACCATCAAATAGTTACTCACGAAAGTTCATGATTTATTTTAAAGGACTGGAGATATATCGGTGCTACAAGTAGATGCAGTAGTAAACCCTACCAACGAAACTATGGATGACAATAGCTTTACGTGCCAAAAAATATTTTCACGAGCAGGTCCAGCACTTAACATCGAAATTGATAATGATATTAAAGGTATTTCATTTTTCTGTCTGAAATATATTATGTTAAAAACATTTTAAGTAATAATTTGTCTTAAATAGAATGTAAAACTGGTGAAGTAAGAGTTAGTCAAGCCCACAATCTGCCTGCACGTTATATTATACATACTGTTGGGCCAGTTTATCATGTTAAATATCAAACTGCAGCTCAAAATACACTTCATTGTTGTTATAGGTATGAATAACATTTTATCTATTATAAAGTATTCATCTAAATCAATATAAATAAAGTTATTGAATTCTGATTGCTTTGTAAAATGGATTTTTTATAGGAATGTTTTGCAAAAAGCTAGAGAATTAGGCTTACGCACCATTGCACTACCTGTGATCAATTCTGTTCGTCGTAATTATCCACCGGATGCAGGAGCTCATGTTGCTCTTCGTACAATACGTAGATTTTTAGAACAATACAATGATTCAATCGTGTGTATTGTTCTTGTTCTTGAGCCCTGTGATTTGGGAATTTATCAAGTTTTGCTGCCACTTTACTTTCCAAGGAATATTGAAGAACAAGAAAATGCTTGCTGGCAACTGCCAAGTGATATTGGAGGACCTGATGGTGAGCCACTTTTACCAGATCGCCAAATTCGTATTATCGACAATCCACAACATGCACTACATGGTAGTATTTCATATTTACCACTCACTATATTCATCAAATCTTATTCTGACTTCAATTGAATGCAATCCTTGTAGGTGATGAAGCTATTGAATTGTCAAATCAGCTTGATACTTCAAGTCTTGGCGAGCATGCATTCACTCAAATGCAAGGTGATTTGGATAGACAAAGGCTTCTTGGAGAACGACCATTAACTGATCCTCTAGCAGACATTATGCTTAAAAGAATGCAACAAAAAGAGAGGTAAGACTATTGAAAATTTTATAATGTTATGGATAATTAATAAATTAATCTAAGTCACATACAAAGTTTAAACTCTACACTCAAATAGAAAAGTTTTGTAGTAAAGACATAAATTTACAACTTCAATATTTTATTAAAATAGTTAACCTTAGAAAAATATTTTAAGTGAAATTCAAAACAGGATTGCTTGTCAAATATATATAATTAAATACACATATGATGAATATCTATATCTGCCATTGCTCATATGATGTTTGTTGTAATTTTAATGACAATATTGGATGAAACTAGGGTATGATCGAATATTCGTGTATGTCAGGTCATTTCAATACAACTTCTATATACTTGGAGGTAGTAACAACATAAAAAGTAAATAAATTTCAAGATAATCTATAACAAGTGCGATTCTAGAAATATTTTAAATATTTATCTCATCCGCAGAAATTTTGAAAGGGTTGTTAAAAATTAATAAGAGTGAAATAAAAAATATTCGTTCAACTTAAAATCACCATATAACTATTTTATAAAACAGTTTGTAGTAGTATATTCCTAGATACGTTATCAAGATGAATAATTTAACATAAAATAATATTTTTGGAGTATTGATTTTGGAGCAGTCATAGTTTCGATAAAAAAAATTGAAAATACTTTTAGTAATAAAAAAGAACTATTACTCTAATAGAATTATTTATTGTCGATAGAATCTATGTTTCTATTAATAATATAATATATCATTCAACCGACAAAAAAATATAAATTGGTCAAAAGAATAGAGCTTCAAATATTCTATTTATAGAATAGATATTAATATCAAAAAATATAATCCAGGGTGTGTAGTAGCTAGGAATGGTCTACAAATAGATACATTTCTTGGAAAATAGGTATTTACATCTAAAAATAGATTAATTTCAAAGTATTACATAGATGTCACTATAAAGATATATTTTATCGGTGAGTACAACAGAATTTATTTTTTCACATCGTCGATATTGAAGTATTTGCAGTGAACCGATATGAATGAAATACCGCGAATATGATAGAAAAATATTTATCATTGAATAATTCATTACTTAATTCTTGTAACGAGAGTAAATTAATGAATTCTAATATCTTGGTACTATAATTTATTCTGTACAATTATAAAATATAATAAGCAATGTGTTTTTTGTTATCTAATTTTTTATAAAATTGTTTTTCATATCATTGAATTGATTCACAAGTATTTCAATGTAATTATATATTTAAAAATTAGGTATTTATTACTTTAAAGAACATACGTATAATATTGTTAAGAAATTCGAGGTTTTTATATATTAGTAAAAGATAATTTCATTATACTACCTGAATGAATTAAAAATTAAAACGTTTTAAAAGAATACATATCCAGAATATAAATATTTAAATTAAATTTAAAAAGTAAAAAAATAAAAATAGATTTAATAATGTACTTGATGTTTACATGGCAATGTCGATTGGCTTAATCAACGCAAGCGCTTTAAAAGAATATGGAAGCACCCTTTCTTTATTCACTGAAACGACGACATTGTGTCGCCTACTGTTCTCTTCGATTTAACTGAAACTACTGAAGCAACAGTTCAACTATTCTCACTATTAACTTCCTTTTCGCGTCGTACACCGCAATAATTTGCACTCTACGTCGGATATATAAGTCAGTCATATTTAATCAGTGTTCTAGCGCGTATCGTGCTCTTTAAATCGACCATCTTCTATTGATATTCGTGGAGTTTTTTTTTAACAATATATTTAAATACAACTTTTTATTAAATTTTATATAAATAATTAGTTAATAATAATTTCAACACGTGCAAAACTTTTGATGTGATTTTTTTATAAATAAAATAAGACATATTACGCCGACAATAAATAAATAAAACAAGATTACATAAAAGCATGGTGATGATTGACATGACAGACGTGAGATTGGACGAGGATGATGATGAAGATCAGTGGGTACACATAATAATCCTTTTGAAATATAAAAATACACGACTGTTTCCATTTGCCACTGAAGTTGTTACTTTATTATCATTACTAAAATTATAACAACAAGTATAAATTATTTTTATGCAATCGAACTATTAATAATTTAAAATATTTCTGAGTGCTATTAAAAGTCATATTATTATTATGATTGTCGTTTAAAACAGTTGTGTATTTTTTTTTTCAAAGTTTGTCGACCTTATCTCACACATTATCATTGCCATATAATGAATGCTAATTTGAGCATGGTCGAAGACGCACTTGTAGACAAAATGAAAAGAATTCTTTGCTTGAGTCTCATGTTGTGTTCTTGACCCGAAAAATCTAAATAAATATCAGCCTTTACCTCCCTCCGTTTAACAATTTGATTTATTCGATAAATTTTTTTTTCCAATGTTTCTAAATATCCTGACGTGATTTCTTGCAACATTTGAATCAATACTTTTACAACACCTACTTATAATGAATGAAATCAATTTTCTCAGAATAATTTCTATACTAATTTAACTCTATAACATTATTTAGATACTTTGGAATGAGTTTTAGAAAATATATTAATGCATTTGAAAACTTTGCTAATTTTAGAATTAATTGCAGATACGAAAGACTCTTGAGACGAGCTAAAACTGAAGATCTTACAGAAGTATCTGGAATCGGATGTCTTTATCAAAGTGGTGTTGACAGACAAGGCAGACCTGTTGTAGTTTTTGTTGGAAAATGGTTTCCGGCTAGCACAATTAATTTAGACAAGGTGATTATTATTTTTAATTAATCTAACAAGTTATAAACGAACAACACTTGAGTTAATGAAAAATAATGAAAAACGATAAAAATTTAATATGTATCTAATCTCTAATAGTATTTGTTAAGATAGTACATTGGCACGTGTATAACAATGCGTACAGATTGACAATTATATGTTTGTATTCGACTTACAGGTCATGCGTTGAGAGAAGCTTACTACGTCAGTTAAAATCGATAATTTATATGATATAAAAATAGATACTCTTAGATTATTAGTTTATAATAACATTTATTGATTTATTAACAAGTTTATTAAAGTATTAGCTATCTTAACGTTAAAATTATATTAAATATATTTAAATATTCATTGTAACACAGTAAATAATTTTTATTAAGCTCATGATTTGTTTTTAATGTGAAAATGATTTATACTTCAATTATTCAATATTGTTTTTCACTGAACATGCTGTATGCGTTGGAAGGTTATTAATAATGAATATACATACTTATTATCTTTCGCGTCAATCTATTTTTTTTTTCAATGTATGAGCAATATAATTACATATATTAGATAAATGAATTTTTCTCATAATTTAATATAATTGTTAGATTAACTATAGTTAACTTAAATCTCTACATGTATCAAAAAAATTTCTTAATTTGACATTATTTTTCATTTTAATCCATGCTTTTCTTCATATATTTTCTTTTATTTACACGATTAACTCGTTTGGATTATTTCAGGCCTTACTCTATCTGATTCAGTTACTGGATCCCATTGTCAAAGGTGACTACGTCATAGCCTACTTTCATACACTCACTACCAGCAACAATTACCCTAGTTTTCATTGGTTACGTGAAGTATACAATGTGCTTCCCTATAAGTAAGTTAAATATTAATATATCATGTATTTTTAGTAAATTAAAATGTTGATATCTGATGTTGAATCATCTACTTTGAATTGAAAAATTTACGTACGTCATGACATTAATATTGAACTAAATATAACATTGATATACATTTACTCTTATCAACATGAGATCTTATTTACTTTCATTTTTATTTTTCCAGATATAAAAAAAATCTTAAACATTTCTACATTATACATCCTACCTTCTGGACCAAGGTTAGTAGTTTTCTGTTTTCAAAGCAATTGATTTTTTTGCGACTAATACGAAATGAATATTTATGATATACTTACTGAGACTTCTCATAAATGATCAAATTAATTACTTATTTCATATTCAATTTTACCATGACTGTAATTGTTTGTTTTTTATTTAAAATTTATTTTCTCAGTCAAATTAATATGAAATTCAAATAAAATTTTAATCATATTTTTAGATGATGACGTGGTGGTTTACAACATTCATGGCTCCAGCAATAAAGCAAAAGGTTCACAATTTACCCGGTGTAGAATATCTATATGAAATTATGTCACCTGATCAACTGGAAATACCGGCATATATAACAGAATATGATATGACGGTAAACTTTTTTTTTATTTTTTATATCTTTGTTATTCATTTCAGTGATATTAAATAATTTATCTATTGCAGATCAATGGCATGAGGTATTATCAACCAGATCAATCACCAGAATCCTGAATGTAATTTAAGCATGTTACGTACAATCATTGCTGTAGATGGAAAAAAAATCAGCAAACGCGCTCTATTATATTAAAATCTTCGCCTTCAAGTAAGTCAGCCTTACACCTAGATATTCAATTCATTTTTGAGTACTAGGTTACCTTTGTCCAATTAATAAAAACAAAGTTGAAACAAAAAAAGTCAATTCCAAAATGAAATGAAAACAAAAAAGTTTTAGCTGAGTATCATATTGGAAAATAATTTTGTTATAAACATTTAAATAAATTGATTAAACGGATCGAAAAGAGATGAGTGTAAAAAATGTAAAGGATATCATCTTATAATGTATAAAAAAGAAGTAAAAAACAAAATGACTGCCAAGAAACATCAATAATCAGTATTTGTGTAATGTTGTTTAATTATTGTTTGTTCTAATTGTTTCACTAAATATCAAAAAATGAATTATTTGGAACAAACTATTTTTTAGAAAATATTCTTAACTATTTAACAAGCGTTTATAAAAAGAAAAAATAATTTAGTGTTTAATTTATTCGTTTAAAAAAATGAATGTATTTCCATAAACTTAAGTTTTTATAATTAAATATTATATTGATTCTTGTCAAGCTAGTTAAAAATTAGTGACATGTACCATTTTGTTGTTAGTTATAGTTGGATAGGAAGTTAATAACTCGAAAATCCTAAAGAAGATTGTTGTTATAGTATCAAATGCAATTTATTAAAAATTATAAATATTTTACTATTCAATTTTTGCTATAATAAGCATACATAAAGTTTTGCTCGTGTTATGAATCATGAAATGTATAATTAATATTGTCTGAGAGCCCAATTAACTTTGGTTATGAGTCCTGTTTCGAAATTTAGTTGTTGAAATATAAAATAATGGATTTTAGAGTCTAAAATTATGATTATAGGCTTTAAAAGTAGCAAACGTAAGTTAATAGATGAAGCAATAAAGTATGAAGAGCTTTGCGCTATCACTCACTGGTAGAGGCTGCGCTATTGTTAACAATTTTTAACAAAAATAACAATGATAAATATAATAACATTTGAAGTATTACGCCTTAGCTGGTAATCCAACTAGTTTAATTCGTTTTATTTGCAGTGTTGTACAAAGTAAACGGCGTACCTCTGAAAATATCTTTAATAGTTCATTCCCCTAGTTAAAATCGATTTAATTACTGTTCTTTTGATAACAAAATTTTTTGATAATTTCATGTTGATAAAATTCTTCAATCTCAAAGAATGAATAATAATTTTTTTTTTTAGTTTTCATAGACTTATAGTAAATCAAAAAATTTTCTAAAGTGAGTCACTTTCCTTTATGGTCTAATTATATGTATGCCGATGATAAGAATAGATTGAATATTATTAGTTTTGCAACCAATTAGTTTATAAGTCAACTGGCGATACGAACAAACCCCATAGAAATTAGAAGTTATTGTTTTTTTAACATTTCAGAAGGCAAATTGAAACGTTTTAAGACCATATTTTATGGACAATCTGTTTGTTGTTAATGAATAGATACATAGTAATTGTACAGTTATATTTTAATATGATAAACATAAAATTATTTTAAACCTAAAATAGTTGAACTGTTACGTCTATTATTGGGTAATTTTATGAAGTAATTCATGAATTGATGATTAACATTTTGTCATTTTGTTTCTTTACTACTCATTTATTGTAATTATAATTTTGTAAGTTAGATTTAACTATGTGAAAGAAAGTAATAGGATTGTTTCATATTATTATTACTTAATTATTCATGTGTAAAAAAATGTAAACAAAATTATGAATTTCTTTTATAAATGTTAAAAAAAAATACCATTCCTTTAACATTTACAAATAAAAAAAAATATTTATTGGAACTTGTACGAAAAACGTTATTTGTTCGTTTGGCGCACTCAAAGATTATTGTAAAAGATAAGAGCATTTACATTGAAGCATCGTGTTACTCGTCCTCCACTCCATTCGCTTTACATGTTACATCACAAGGTCAGAAATATGAACATTAAGCATTATTTTCATACTGATAAATTTTTGCGTATAAAATTTCTTTAAATAAAAATAAATTTCCAGGATTATGAAAAATGGATTTTTCTTTATAATAAATATTAAAAATATTAAAAAAGCAAATTATAATTTCGAAAATATTAAAAATTGACACCAAACATTTTAAATACCTGAGATAAGATAATACTTATCGTCATAAAGAACTATGTCTGAAATGCAAAGTTCGACGATGCCTTGGTGTCGCTATTGAAACTAGTATGAGGTATTCAACATTGACAAGTGGTTTTACAATTTTTTTTTTTTTACTTCAAGTTCATAGCTTAGTATTTTACCGATATTATCATAGTGTTAAATTTTCGAAGAACATTATTAGACTCTAAAATTCTGTTGTCATATTTATTCTATTAATAAATAGACACATGTGTTTTTGTGTAACTGTTAGAGAGCAAAGTAATTTTTGCTGACAATTTAGATCAACATTAATACACTCACCATATTTTTATTAGCATCTATAAATTTTTTTTTTTTTTTAAATTCATTAACGTTATTTCTTCAATTGTACACTTTGTGTGAATTCAATTTATACCTTAGATTGTTTTTATTAATATAAAAACAACAATTTATGATGAGTTAATTATGTTCAGACAATATAACTCAAAAATTAATCACTAATAAAATGAAATTATTTGGTATTCAATTCGCGCCAATTTGTGTTCCATTAGAAAGACGGCTTCAAACTTTAGCCGCTGGAGGATGGTTCGTTTTTATTGTATTTGGTGGTTCAATGGGTTGTTTTTTAGCTATTTATTTAATTTTTTTTACTGAATGGATTCGATATTTAGTGATTATTTATATTGCATGGATTTACTACGATCGAGACACGTGTATTCAAGGTGGACGTAGGTAAGTTTATTCACATACTTTATTAGAAAAAGCCGGTATTGGTAATTGGTGATAATATATTTTTTAAATTATTTATTTTTTCTATTTAATAGACAACGATATACTCGTTGGATCAGAAGGTGTTCATGGTGGGCTTATTTTCGTGATTATTTTCCAATAAAATTGTATAAAACAGCTGATCTGGATCCATCTCGAAATTATTTACTATGCTCATTTCCTCACGGAATTTTGGCAACTGGAGCTTTTGCGTCATTTGCCACTGATTCTTTAAATTTTCACAAACTGTTTCCGGGTCTAGAACCAAGACTGATTACTCTTACACAACATTTTATGTTCCCATTTTTTCGGGAATGTATTTATGCTTTCGGTAAATATCTCAATCTTTATTTCACTTTTTTATTCGTTACACTTAGCTTATAAATATTCATTTTATATTTAGGAGCTTGTAGTTCGAAGGCAGAGAGTTTAGAATGTTTATTAAAACATAAAAAGTCATCAGACCCAGATGACCTAAATAAAGCAGTCATTTTAATAGTGGGTGGTGCTGCAGAAGCTTTAATGTCTCGCCCTTCAACTTATCGCACTCTTTGTAATAAACGAAAAGGTTTTGTAAAAATTGCCTTAAAGACTGGGTTGGTATTTTTTTCATTATTCAATTTATATGTTACATTATTACAACTATCTTAATTTTACAATTACTGAAACAGAACACCATTGGTACCTGTTTTTTCATTTGGAGAAACAGATTTGTTTGATCAAATTGTAGCACCCAAAAATTCACTTCTCAATCGAATCCAAGAATTCTTTAGAAAAAACGTTGGAGTTATTCCTGTTCTTGTTATCGGTCGTGGATTTTTTCAATATTCATTCGGTATTATACCGCGAAGAAGACCAATTTCTGTTGTTGGTGAGTGACTTATATGTAATATGTTATTTTCAAATGATAATTATTTTAAATTATTTATTCTAGTTGGATCACCGATTGAAGTTCCAAAAGTTACTGAACCAACAAGAGAAGAAATAAATAAATATCACGATTTATTTAAAGAGAAATTAATAGAACTATTTGAAACAGAAAAACATAAATATCTAGAAAATGCAGATAACATTAAGTTAAGTATAGAATAGTTTTTCCAACTTCAAGTCATTAATATAATCACAAAAATAATTTTAAAGAATAAACAATTATAATTACCTCTAAAAACGATATTACTGCAATAAATAAACATACTGCAATACAAAAAACATTATAATATGTTTGTTAGCATTTTTTTACTCACATGATTACTTTTAACGATGTTTCTTCATTTAAATATAATTATATAAAAGCTCAGTAATGATGAAATAACATATGTTATAAATCTGTTATCTATTTTTATTAAGAGTAGTATTTTAGTTGACAATATTTTTTCAAGCTTACAAAAATTTTAATTATAGATGTTTATATGTTTCATTATGTTATAGAACGTGCATTTTTATCTGTCATAATCTTGGAAAATATTGTATTTATTTATGACAAACATATAAAATAAGTTACAAAAATTGTTATAGAATGTATCAATATAAAAAGTCCTTGCAACATAGTGTTTATTTACGTATAATATGTAATTCTAAAATAGGATATGAATAAAATGATTATTATAAAATGATTGGAATGATTACTTAACGTGAATAGAGAGCAGGAGTATTCCTAATGTCACAAGAATAAATAAGCCCCACATACAACGCTGAATTACCTGAAAAATTATTTTTTAATTTGTTAAGAAAACGTTCATATAATATAATGATTAAGAACAACCTGATAATGATTAAGAATAACCTACCATATCTTGCCATGAACGATTTTCAATACAACGTCGAAAGCCCATCCGAGTGAAATGAATAGTATTATACAGTGGTATCCAACCATTTGGCCACAATCGATGAAGCAAAGTATCAATATTTCGACGTAAACGAAATGATTTTTTCATTACAAGCTCACGCATCTAGAATTTAATGTAATAATATGAATTAATGTACAAGGTAAGAATTATTCCATTAACTGTAAGTGTACATTTTGAAATATACACGTTAAAATATTGCCATTCAACAATGAATTTTGTGTTCTCGTAAGTAAACTTGATTACTATGAAAACTCAACAATTATTTACGATAAGTCAATAATTACTTACGATAACTCAAAATATACTGGTGAATAGAAACGTTTGTAAAATAATGTTTAAATATATGTTACAATTTTCAAAATTTACTTCAATATAATTATACATTGCGAGGTCACAAATAGCATGAGCATCTGCACAACGAGCTTTTGAAAACTCAGGTAATACTTTGGACATATCCTCGTCATAAATATCCATCAATTCATTGAGTATCAGAACATCTTCGAAAGCCTAAATGAATTTATTATTATGTTCTAATCATAGAAGAAAATGATTAATAAAAAAATAATTACATACAGCATTCATCCCTTGAGCATAAAAAGGTACCATTGCATGTGCTGCATCTCCCAGAATTAAACTTTTTCCCATATGATAAGGATTACATTTGATAGATATTAATGTTTTTGGTTTAATTGAAAAAAAGTTGTCGATGAGTACTTGGGTACTACCAAGAAGTGGGAGAATATCTGGAAATTCTTCGGTAAAAAACTGCACTAACTTCTCTGGTGTATCTAAACCATTCAAGATTTTCAAAGGTGCAAAGAGATTGCCAGTAAAAGTGAAATCATCATTAGGCATTGCAATCATCATGAATGTTCCTCTAGGCCAAATGTGTAAATGTTTTGGACTCATACAAAACTGTACGATAAATATAATCAATGAATACTTGTATGATAATTGATATGATATTATGATAATATATTTTATGTACTTTGAATCCTTTCTCTGGATGATTTTTATCAATCAAGTGAGGAGGAATGTTGAGTTCTACGTAGCCATGTTCAATGTATGTTTGTGAAAAATCAAATCCTGGTCGCTTTAACATCATTTTTCTTACTGTAGAATGTGCACCATCTGCCCCAATTATTAATTCAGCTTCTACATTTAATATTTTCTTCGTGTTTGTACTGAAATAATTCTCATTTAAATCATCAAATTTTTTAAATATGATTAATTAAACAGAATTCTCATTTACTCTAAAAATTTGAGTTTTCCAAGATCCAAATCTGCTTCCACAAGTTTTTTATTAAAAATTAATGTCACTGAAGGATATTTGTCGGCAGCTGTGGTCATTTATATGGTTAACCAGTTGTACAGTTGTATCCAGAAAAATGAAATGTTTATAACACGTTGAAATGCAATACAAAAAATGCATGCGGTTATCACGTAAAATAATACTTAACGAATTTTTGTTAATTTAGAATAGTACAAGATGAATTTTTTGATATATATTTTGTAAATGATAATTTCGCAATTTGTTTTACATTCGATACTAGCTCTAGGTTTCTGCATATTTCTTTCGTTTGAATAATAAAAAAGTGGAGGAGAAATTTGATACTTCTTTCATATGGTTTCAGTTCACTTGAAGTGCACTAATGTTCTTTACATGAGTTGAATTTATTATGAATTTATGTCAGAATCAATTAATATTTTTGAATTATCATTCTATTAACTAATTATTATATTATTAAATAAAAATCTTTGATAACTTACCATCCAATAGGACTTGATTCATATATTTTCGACTGACGGAATAGAGCAACTTTAAATAAAATAATTAATATTTTTTCTACTCTTTCAAAATCATATTTACCAAAAGATAAAATATATTTAAAAAATCACATTATTTTTTACGCTGTCATAAATCATTTCCTGAAGATGTCCGTCTTTTCCATGAAGCATTCTTCCTCGCATTGCAATTCCATGATGATTTATTATTTTATCTTCAAGATTGATAAGCTTTAAAGCATGGCGACCACGAACAGAAAGAGCAAGGTCAATACTTTGACCCCTTGATTCTTCAATTCTTATATCTATATATTTATGATAACGTAAGCATAAAATTTTTTACGAATTTTATTGAATGAAAGTATTATATCACTATAAAATACATACCAGACCGATATTCATATATACGAACACGATGACCACGTTTAGCTAAAGCACATGCACTGAGCGCTCCTACCTGATGAGAAAATTTTTAATTATAACCAATGATTATTTTTCATGAATACAATAAATAAATAATTATTATCCAATTATGATCTTTAAAAATAATAATATTGCCTACCAATCCACCTCCAACAATAACAATATCCATGCCTGCTACACCCTTCATGGTGTCCAGCGAGAAACTGAACGGAGTAAGAGGATTATTAGCTGTCAGACCCTACAGCACCACTACTACTCTATACGTTAATAGGTTTTTACCTTTGAAAGGTAGTTAAATAATATTATTCTTATGGTCATAATTGAATAATAATTTTTTTATGTTTGTTATTTTATAGATTGTTCTATTTGTTTTTATAAATACTTATTGGCTTACAACTGAATAAACCATAATAATAATTAATTTGATAAAAAATTTATAATTTGAAAAATAAATGTGATTCTAGAGTTTAAAAATCGGTTACCTATTTTAGCTCCATAAATTTTCATTATTGACGCTTCTAACGATAGGTAGGGATGTGTCTTTTTATAAAATCACTCAAAGCATCGTCTTTCCGTCATTGAAATGTATTTTTATCAACCTCACCCTGAAAAAATAAACTCATCTGAATATCATTGTTGTTATGATTATTCGGTTTTATGATTTTATTTGTTCAATACTATACTCATATCAAGTACCAATAAAATGATATCTGTGATAGATTAAATTTAATAAAGATACAATGGATATCAAACTGAATGAATATGAAGATTTTCTGATTACACCACGTACCTTTTTGAATTATACCACGAGTGAATTTGGTGTAGCTGCTAAAAGAGCTTTGATTCATGATAAATTTCGTTGAGAGGACCAATGTCAATAATTTTTGAATGATGATCATGATTTGATTTCCCCTCTGCAGGGTATATTCCGGCGACGGCGCTTTGGATCACGCGAGCTCATACTCAGCTAGGGCGGACGCTGTCCGAAAATCAAAAATAACTATCGCAGTCAGTGCGGCGATGTCGAGGGTGAACGACGGTTCGACGGGGTGCCGATACTGGCGCACGGTGATGCCGAGGCCAAGTGTATTCTTCCTCTTCCTTATCCTCGGTGTCCTGGTGATTTTAAGTAGCACAAATTGCGGCGTAGAAGGCGCTAAAAATGTGCGTCAAGATGATAATAGTGCTAATCGTGGTGGAAAGACTATTTCATCATCATCATCATCATCATCATCAACTGGACATCATCATCAGAAAGGAGCCGAGTCAGTGATTGAGGAGGTTACTGCAAAACAACTAGAACGTATTCTTAATGAAAAGGACTTTGTCGCTGTGTTTTGGTGTAAGTTAAAAATTGAATGTGATGAAATCGTTTATGCTACACAAATGTAAATCACACGTGATACCAAGCATGCTGTAGTGAGGATTGCGTAATACTCTTTGCAGTTCAGCGAAACCTTTTCTAGTAATAATTTATTTTTCTTTCATCCATACACCTATTTTATATCAAATAAAGATAATGATTCGGCAGATTGTTCGAGATTTTACAAGGAGAAGTTAGTTAAATCAGAACACTCACTAGACGCTGTAGTCGTCTATCGACGCGGTGGCCTGTACCACATTTAGAATACGTACCGAGTTATTTTGGCACTGCACGATGTTACACGTTCCCCTCTCAGAATTACTTCTACCTCGGAAAGCGATTAGGTTCTGTCCGGAAAACATTGCAACGACAATCCGATCTCCCGCAACAGGTTGCCATCAAAAAGAGTCGCCCAATTGTGGAATCATTCATTTATCTGGGATTATAACATACAATATCATTTTATTGTATGTCTATATTTTTTGATTTACAAGCAATAGATAAATTCATTATTAAAAAGACTAAATACCTGAAATTTTTTCGAATTATTTTTCAATGCTATGTCATTAAAAGATTAAACGTCATTTTGTTTTAAATTTCAAGTTTCTATCTTCTATTGACTGACAAAAATATCCCAAAAGGTATTTCCAAATTTAACGTTACATTGAAATATGGGATGATGATGGATATCTTCTTCTATAATTTATTATAAATGTATCAGTGGTTGTTAATAGTGGCAACGGAAACATAAATATAAATACTATAATGTGAAAATAAGAAGGACGTGAAAAAATAGCGTGAATGGCGATAGTGACACCTTCTTTCGTATTTTTGTTCTTTCTCTTTCTTACCAGCAACTCCCTCTAACTTATTTCTCTGCTCTATTCTCAGGAACATCACCTAAATTGGCGGGCGTATACGGGTACTGCTATGCTATTCTTCACTGTTAATTGATAACGTTTTGAAAATAAAAGTAAATACACTAAATCAAAACATCGTCTCATTATTATAAATAGATTGTGATAGACATAAAAAAAATATCTTAAATGTATACTTGCTTGTGTAAAATGAAATATTTACGTATCAGTATGCTGGTAACTTAATACCCACTGTCCAATAAATATAACCCTACATATAACTTGGAAATCGAATTAAAAAAATATGCTGATCGGTAGTTTGACATTTTTAGTTTTTATGATAATTTTAAATATGTCTCATTATCATAAAATAACAAAAATTTCTAAAAATACAATAAGAAATTTTTATTTTCATTTTTATTGCATAAATGATTGATATGTGGCTTTTAAAAATTTAAAATCAAACTTCAGTTGATGATTAATAAAATTTTGAATAGCTTCTTGATGAATCATGATCAGTTTTGATCAACTATGAATATTTTGAATAGATATTACTCAAGTATTGATGTTGAGCTAATTGAAACTCAAGGTTAATGTGATGTAACATTAAATCTTTCGCTATTATGATTTGTTGATGATTTTCTTTAGCTCATCATTATTCATTCATTCAGTCTGGTAAGTTTTTAAATAATAACAATGTTCATAAAAGTATAAAATGCTCATCAACAACTGTATGTATTGTTTTGAAGATCTCTCTATACTTAAATTACATTGTTGGAAATATTTTTTTGATAAAAATTTATTTAAATTTGTTTTTTTTTAGTATGTTGTATTATATCAATAATATTGGATATTTCAGATGCAAGAAGTTGCATTACATGCGATAAAGTTTTATCAGAACTCGAAAAAATAGACGATGATACCGATACCTTTGGTGTCGACTTTGTAAAAATCAACGACAAACGTTTAGCAAAACAATATGGCATCAAAAACTTCCCGGCACTTACATATTTTCGAGAAAGAGAACCGATTATTTACGAAGGTAAGCAGCAATTAAATATAATTCAATTGATGAGTAATAAACATTTGTCAAGTCCAAGAAAAGTTGGTAATACAAATTTAGTAGAACTATGTGTGATTTAGTCAGACATTATGAATGCTCAGACAAACTATGTTTATCATACACTCTTGTTTCTCAACAAAGTAATCCTGATAATACCTGTGGAGGCGGTTACAAGAGTCGCCAGAAATTTTTTTTGGAATCACGCCGAAACAGTAACCTTGCCTGGCATACGCGAAGCTCAAGTCATTTGACCTACAATTATTTCATATTCTATAAATATATTAAAAATTAAAGTAATATAAAAAAAACGATAACAAACACATATTGATACCTTTATCTTATTAAATAGGTGACTTGATGGATGAAGAAAGTGTTTTAGACTTTCTCACAAGTCTCGAAGCAATGGATTTACCAGATCGAATTGAAGAAGTTAATGCTAAAATTCTGAATAAAATTGTCGAAGATACAGAATTTGTTGCAGTTCTGTTTTGTAAGTTTTTTTAAATTGGATTTTATTTTTTCGATATTAAATATAATATTTAATGTACATATGTACATAATGGTGAAAAATGAAGAATGTCGTGAAATTATTTTCAGCTTTTGTCGAATTGCATGCTAAAGTTAAAATTTGTACTGGACTCAAAATTGATTATTTGAAAATTACTTTTAATTATTCATATAAATATAATGCTTTCAAAGTGTTAACATACTATGTATTATATTTTGTAAATAATGCCTCTCAAACGCAAAAAATTATTTTTCTGTGTGTCAATGTAAATAGGTCCAGATTCGGAGCGGTGTGCTGGTTCTGGTTCTAGTAAGTATACTCTCTAAAAATAGGCATCTATCAATTCATCAAAATGCCATTTAACATTTGTATAGAGAAAAAACCCAGTAGAACATAGAGAAAATTTCTACTTAATAAGCAGGACACTTGTACATTCAGCGATTTAACATATTTGTTCTTCTTTCACTGCCATTAATAATTGTGAAATTGCCAATTTGTTGGATTGAGAAAAATTTGATATCAAACTTCTTTTCTTATTAAATTTTCGGCTTCACGAATATTAATAATTTATTAATAGTTGACAGAAAAATTTTTCTCAATGCAGTAGTAATAGTTAGTAGCTATCGTTATAGTCTATAGTGTTGCATAGTAGTCATTATTTAGTTTTAGTCGTAGAAAATAATAGCTGTATAGTCAACCAATTTACAACTGAATAATCAGAAATTTTCATATTTTATTTAATTAAATTTTTATGTACAAAATTAAATTAAATTATTTTGATTGGAAATGGGACAGACAAACCCGATTGCAAAAAATGTGCGAAGGCACTAATGGAATTGGAAAATATTGATGATGAGGCTGATCAACTTGGAATTGGTTTCGTTAAGATTGCAGACGAAGAGCTTGCTGAAGAATATAATTTGGGTCCATTACCTGTATTAGTATATTACCGTCATCAAATACCAATTATTTATGAGAGTAAGTAAACAGTTAAAAATAAATAATGCAATGAAGAGACGTAATTAAAACATCAATATTTTGTAGATGAACTTAGTAGAGAAGAAGATGTTTTGGAGTGGTTGGTAGCAAATAAAAGTACAGGGGACGAAGAAGATGTAATTGAAGATGTCACAGCTAAAACTTTAAATACTTTAATTGGAAACATGGACAATCTCGTTGTGCTATTTTGTAAATATTTATTCATTCATCGGTTTATTAAAATTAATAAATAATTAAAATAATTCGAATGTACATTTTTAGATGATCATGGAGATGATGATTCCATGCAAGTACTTGCAGAACTTGAAAAAATTGATGATGATTTGGATAAACATGGAATTCAATTTGTAAAAATTGATGATGATAAAGCAGCTAAAGACTTCGGTATCGATTCTGTACCAGCTATAGTTTACTTTGAAAAGCAAATTCCGAATGTTTATGACGGTAATAAAGCAATATGAGTAAATATGTAACATTTTATTGTAAGCAATGAAGTATAAATATTTTTGTTATAGGTGATATTGATAATGAGGACGAAATACTTGAATGGCTTTTGTCGCAGTTAGAAAAAGATGAAATCGAAGATGTAACTGATGAAATGCTAGATCGTTTAGTCAAAGATGGCAAAACTATAGCAGTATTATTTTGTAAGTAATTTTAAAAGATACAAAAATAAATGTATTTTTGTAATAAATAATATTCTAGATGACAATAACGACCGTAAATCTCAACGAGTTTTAAATGAATTGGAGAATATTGATGATGAATGTGATCAACTTGGAGTGGTGTTTGTTAAAATTGATAACGTCGAGGAAGCCAAAGAGTATGGAATTGAAAAAATTCCAACGCTTGTTTATTTTGAAAAAGGAATACCAACTATATATGAAGGTAATTTAGAAGATGAGCAAAAAGTTCTCAAGTGGCTTGAACAACAACAAGCCTCCGATCAAATTGAAGATATCACTGATGAAATGTTGGATATGGTTATTGACAAAATGCCTCATGTAGCAGTCTTATTTTGTTAGTATATAAAAAAAATTATTATTCTAAAAATTTTTTAATTCATATTAATTAATATCAATATTTTTCTTCAGATGATAAAGATCAAAAGAAAAGCCAAAAAGTAGTGGCAGAATTAGAGAATATTGACGACGATTGTGATCAACATGATATTGCATTTGTCAAAATTGATGATGCAGAGGAAGCCAAAGAATACGGCATTGATTCACTTCCAACGTTAGTTTTATTCGAAAAAGGAATTCCACATGTTTATGATGGTAATTACGTTAAAGTAATTGTTTTTTTAAATTTAATATTTGTCTTGAAAAATTATTAATCATTAATGTTAAAAAATAAAGGTGACTTAATGAATGAAGATCAACTACTTGGTTGGTTACTTCATCAAAAAAAACATCGTGAAATTCCGGAGGTTACAGATGAGATGATGGATAAATTAATTGAACATCAACCATATCTTGCTGTATTATTTTGTAAGTAATTCCGATGTAAGTCACATTTTGGACATTATCGGTATGATTATATGATAATCGTTTCCAAAATTTTTTACTTACTTTATTTTGATATTTCAGATGATAAAGACGATAAACAAAATATTCGAATTCTAAATGAATTAGAAAATATTGATGATGATTTAGAAAAAGAAGGAATCGTCATAGTTCGTATGGATAATCAAGCAGAAGCTAAAGATTTTGGTATTGATCATCTTCCTGCTCTTGTATACTTTGAAGCAAAAATACCGGCTATCTACGAGGGTGATTTACTCAATGAAGATGAAGTACTTGAATGGCTAATTCAGCAAAAAAAAACTGCCACTATAGAAGAAGTCACTGATGAAATTTTGTCTACACTCATAGAAGAACATGAATATGTTGTTGTTTATTTTAGCAAGTATTTTTTATTTTCAAATTTTTTACTTAAATTTTCATGTAATAATAATCACAGTTAAGATAAAAATAATTATTCGTTAGGTGGTCGTTGTGATGATGGTGATGAATGTGACACTGTTTTGAAAGAACTGGAAAATATTGACGATGAGCTCGATGAAACAGGAATTATTTTTGTCACTACTGAAGACGTAGGATTAGCCAAGAAATATGGAATCAAAAATCTACCGAGTTTAGTGTTCTTTCGAAATAGAGACCCTCTTGTATACAGTGGAGACGTTGAAGACGAAGACGAAGTCCTCTCATGGTTAACTGATGAAAATACTCTTGAAATACCAGGAAAAATAGAAGAAGTAAACTCTAAAATGTTGGAAAATATTCTTGATGAAAATGATTATGTTGTTGTCTTCTTTTGTAAGTTTTCAATTATAACATCATTATGTATATCATCTTTATTATTAACAAAGATTTCTGAATATTTATATTTATTTTAATAGATAAAGAAGGTGATAAACGAAGTCAGAAAATTCTTCAAGAGCTTGAAAATATTGATGATGAATGTGAAGAAAAAGATATTGACTTTGTCAAAATTTCTGATGAGGGTATTGAAAAAGAATATGATCTTCCTGGACTTCCAGCTCTGGCTTTTTATCGCCATAAATTTCGACAAATTTATACCGGTGATATGATGCATGAAGATGAAATTCTTGATTGGGTTTTAGAGCTTCGTCGTTCAACTCCAGATGTTATCGAAAGTGTTGATCGAAAAACACTTCAAGTTTTAATAAACGATGTTGAACATCTCGCTGTTTTATTCTGTAAGATTTTAAAAATAATTTATATTTTTAAATTTATTTTTTATTCTAATTATCATGCTTATAACTTTTCAATGATTTCCTATTTATTTTTAGATGATGATGATGAAGAAAAATGTGATACATGTCGTCAAATACTTGAAGAACTTGAAACAATTGATGATGACACCGATAAACATGGAATTCAATTTGTTAAGTCCAAAGACGCCAAGCTTGCCGCAGAAATTGGAATATTTTCATTTCCTGCACTTGTGTACTATGAAACTGGAGTGCCTATTATGTATGACGGTAAGAATTATTTTTATTCTTAACAACTAAACACTTGAATATTAAGATGTTTCCATTAAATAATAGTAAATAATTTATAGAATAAAATCAATATTTATCTAGATAATTTTAAGCGAGGCTATTATATTAGACAAATTTAATTAACTTATTCGTAGTTTAAGTAATGTAAATTTGTGTTACATTTATAATTTGTATACATTTAAATTATTCTATAAATGTGTGCGTGTGTCTGACTTTTATAGGTAATCTTAAGAACGAGGACAAAGTTCTGGAATGGCTAATCGAACAAAAAAGTAAGGAAACAAGCAAAATGATGATTATTATTACGGGTGTACTATTCTTTGTGACTTTAATATCGATCGTAACTGATATACCGGGTTATAGAAACAATGAGAAAATAATGGTTCCCATTCGTGCGCGTTCACCATCATTACAATTATCACACTGAAAAGATTTGTGATTTTTTATAATGAGAAAAAATTGGATATATTTTTTTTTATCGCTACTAAAGAATTGTTACTGTTTAATGCAACTCTACATTTCATATTTAGATCAAATTATTTTTCAGGCATTAATTAGTTTACTGATATGTTTATGTTTTTTAAAAAGATTGATATTTTTTTGTCATGACACAATGCATTTTGCCCACTGATGAATAAGATTACTGTGTATGATGATATCAATTGTTTCTATAATTTATGTTGTCTTGTTTAACGAGATGATCACTGAATCGCGATGTCATCAATTTAATGAAAAATCTTGAAAACTTATCCTGTCCTTAATATCTATCTGATATTTTGAATCTATGTTCTAATTGGAGTAGTATTTCAGTTATTAAACACATACTTACTCTTGCAAATTTCAAATTTAATTAATACTTTTGTTTTTATTTTTTTTTGTCGCATGTTTTAACAAATCGAACTAGTGCCTTTACGCTTGCTAAGGATATATTCAAGTACAATTAATTCATTTAAACTATTTTTTTTGCTATGTCAAAAACTTATAATACCTCCAGTAGCTATTTTTCGGGACATTTATGAAATTATGAAAGAATATCTTAAGCGAAATTAAAAAAGAGAACTATACCTACCCCTCTTATTATTGTGATGATATTTCTTAAATCTCAATACACAGGTAATGATAATGATGATGATGATGATGATAATGATGATGATGACAATGATGAGGATGAAGATGAGGACGATAATGACAAAGACGACGACGATGATGATGATGATGATGATGATGATGATGAAGACAGTGATGATGATGATGATAAAGACGACGATGATGATGATGATAATGATGATGATGAAGACGACGATGATAATGATGATAATGATGATGATGAAGACGACGATGATAATGATGATGATGATGATGATGATGATGATGATGATGATGATGAGGACGAGGACGATGATGATAATAACAATAGTAATGATAATGATGATGATAGTATTGATGATGATGATGATGAGGAAGATGGAATTAATTTCAAGAAAAAATCTAGCCGAGCACTGAAGAAAGAATCCACAAAAGGTAATCAGCAACAGCATCATAAGTAAAATGATGAGGATGAAGATTTGGAATAAAATTTCGTCAAAAAAATCTGGGCAACTTTATCAATAAACTGAATAAGATTTCATATAAAAAATAAGATAAAAGTTCATAAAAATCAAGGAGAGCAGACATTATAGTAGGTATTCCTTTAGATTGATCGCAGTCAAGGATTAGATGTGCCAAGGAGTCATAAGTTTGATGCGTGGCAAATTATATTTTTTCATGATTTTTTTATCCATTTTTTTTAAATTCAAGTTTTTAGTAGTTGACGCATAGTAGGTAGTTATCCTTAGTATTCATACGTGCCAACATCAACTCTTTAGCTGTTGATGTATATTCCCGGCTTATTATTTATTACGAAACGCGTTTATTTTTCACTATTATAAGCTGATCTGGAGGCGTATCATGATTAGATTTAATAATAGTTTTTACTTATATTTTTTTTTCTGATTCACCTAAATTAATTTAATGCGTCGCTTAATAATATAACTTATGATAAACTATAATATTTGGGTGGTCAATTGATTATTTAATGCATATCTTATTTTATAACAAATTTCCAACTGACTTTATTACACGAATCATAATCAATCAACAATAATTGACAGTAAAACTTTGAATAATTGTATTGACCACTAATTTATTAGCTCTTCATTGCTTAACGCGTACAATAAATGAAAAAAATAGATACATTTTCTAACTACTATTATTCAATAATATGAACGAAAATTGGCATTAAATTTGCACGATTGATTGTAACTAAGAATTGGGGTTTGCTATGAATCATGTTTATGATACTTACAATTGACAAAAAATATAATAACTGTGTTCAAAATTTTAGAGGGCACGCTCTTTGCTCATAATGTTAATTTGCTAATGATACTCACTCAATTAATGCAACTAAAAATTTCCCATTTTCTTATTTATGTTTTTTAAAAAAAAAAAAAACTGAAATGAAAAGATCAGCCATTATTATGTTGTCTGACCCGTTATTTGCTTATCGACAGGCGACGGCTGTTTCTACATCGGGATGGGTGGTAAAAGCGCGAAACTCACGATACCCTCCTATGAGCCGTACCAATGCTGTCGTGCTAATACCAACCGCGGGACCAAGGTTGCCAAGGTCAGCCGCGTTGTACAACCTTCAAAGACACTGGCTGGTAGTAAGTTATCAAGTCATTCTTCATCAGCACCATCAACTGTTACCCCTGAACTGAAGCCTATAAACAAACTTACTCCAAAGGACAGCAAAAAGATTGCAAAGATTGGAACAGACAAGGACAAGTCATCAACAAGCCATGCCGCGTCTAAACCGAAAAAAGGGTTTTTCGGGAGTGGTAAATATCTAAATCATTCAGATGAACAAAATTAAAACTGTGTAAACTACGAAGATATAGATTTTCTCTACGGTTTTCTAGTTGTTGCGGGGATCCCCTATCTAATGAAGGTTTGAAGAGTCCATCCAGCCAATGAAACAAATAAAACGTGGAGAAAAGCGTCGTTCAAGAAAGCCAACTTAAAGCATCCTGGTCTACATGAAACTACATCAATACAATGATACATTGTCATCATACATTACCTACCATGCCATCGAATTCATCATCTTCACTATCATCTATTACTTCGTGATAAATTCAAAAATTACATGTTTCCATGTACCGGCTAACTGTTTATAGAAATGACGTTCTTTTGAACCGAATCATTATTCGATTTATTGCAGTTTTATTAAAACTTACAATACAGTTTGTTCAAATTATTAGTCTTTCCTTAATTTATTGTTTCTTTTGAATTAAAATTATATAGCAATTAATTTGATTTATCGATCGTTTTTGAATTAATCATAATTAATCAATATTTCTTGTATTTACTATTATTATAAGTGCACGTAATCGTAATTAATATCATTTTTAACTTTTTTCTCTTTCTCACTTTAAGATTTGTTCTTTTTATCTACTTATAATTATAATTGATATCATTGTACGTTAAATCGCATTTCCGTTTTTGCATTTTAATGTACGCGCGTTGCCTATTTAATTATTATTTTATTTCAAAAGGACAAAAACAAAATGATATCATCGAAATAGGTCATTCTTTAGTTCTGCCTGTAGCTAACATTTATTCAAAATGCTCTTTGTTCTTTAATTTGATCCGATTTATAAAAATACCACCGAAATAATTAGAACCTTATAGTTGTTACAGTAAATTTATTTATTTATTTATTTATTAAACTATAATAGTGTTATATTGTATAAAAATGTTAATTTATTGATGATTGTAATGATTAGAAAATGACTCAATGTACGAAACAAACCGGTACATTATTATTAAATAAAAGAAATTATATTTCCTAAAACTATTATTTATAATTACATCAAGCCAAGTTAGTATCTAATTCAACACTTCTATGAGCGAAAATCATTTTGTGATAAAATGATGGTACGTACGACGAGACTTTTTTATTTTTAAAAAAAAAAAATCAGTATTTAGTTCGCTTAATCTGTATAGCCATTCCAGAACGGTCCCGCCGTCAACATTGGCAGCCACACTTGATATATGAAAAAAATCTCCAGTATCAATAATAATTATAAATTAAATAATTAATTAAGCACATTTTCGAAAGTCAGAACGTTATAAATTTTATATAATTAATAGTTGCCATACATTTGGCGTCGAGACCGTGAAGGCCTTTTGAAAATGCCTTTTTACAATGAAGAACTAATTTTTGATGTCGTTCATATTTTCATAATACTTACATGTTTTAAAAGATTTCTGTGTAAAAACAATTGTTATCATATAGTATATTTTACGACATATTTCCATCAGTTTAACGTAAACAATTTTTTTTACATAGATCATATTGAATTTGATCTTGACGAAAATAATTTTGTATTATCAATTCTTTACAATATATTTTTAATAAATAACATAAGTGCGTATATTTGTCGTGTGGATTAAAGTTAATAGCACGAATAGTTTGTGTCTTCAAAAATGATTTTAAACAACACGTTACGATATAATAATTTCTTTCCAATCTATTAGGCAATATTTTAGATGAAGCTGAAGTTCTTAGTTGGATGGTGAAACAGAGAAACGATGCGAGTATAGAAAAAATTGATCGAGATCAATTAATAAAATATATTGAAACTAAAGAATTTTTGGCAGTTATTTTTTGTAAGTTTTTTCATTTTTTAACGATTAAATAATCTTGTTTATACGTTTGCCAGTATTTATTACTTTCAGACAAAGAAGAAGATCCAGAAAGTCCACGAGTTTTACGTCATATTGAGTTGATTGATGATGAAGCTGCTGAATATGGAATAAAAATAGTTCAAATGAGTGATCGTTTAATGGCAAAAAAGTATGGTTTCAGGAATCCACCAGGTATTACATATTTTCGTAAAGGAAAAGCTATTAATTATGATGGTGATATCGATGATGAAGAAGAAATACTAGATTGGTTAACAAATCCCGAGAATATGGAGCTGACAGATCATATTGAAAGAATTAATAGAAAAATGTTTGATAAAGTTCGTCAAACATCCGATTATTTGGCTGTATTTTTTTGTAAGTATATTAAAATAATTTTAATGAAATAAAATAATTTAACAAATTCTATTTGGATAGATAGCAAAGACTGCAAGCAATGCAATAAAGTTTTGAGTGAAATTGAACACATTGATGATGAAGCAGATCATGCTGGAATTAATTTTGTTAAAATTGATGATAAACAGCTTGCTAAAGAATATGGAGTTTTTGCATTACCAGGAATACTCTTCTTTAGAATGGGATCCAAAGAACCTGTTATTTATGCTGGTAAGAACAATATTTAATTCATGATGAAAAATTAACATTGAAACTGATAATTATTCTATAATTTTCATTCAATAGGAGATTTATATGATGAAGATCAAATTCTTCAATGGTTAATGACGCAGAAAGATCCTTCTGGAGAAATGATAGAAGCCCTTGAAGGGGAAGATCTTCTACATCTTATTCGCGAATCGTCGTCTTTGGCAGTATATTTTTGTGAGTCTGACGTATGGTTCTTATCTTTTATTTAACACAATATCTTACTCCAAGGCAATAATAAATAAATAAAATTTAAATAAAGAAATATTAATAATGAATTATTCACAGAATGCTTTTGCGTGATGTATGCCCTAGTCTTCGCTAATTATGCATTTTTATCTGTTATTTGTTACTTACTTTTCTCATCTGTCTTCTTTCTCGAGCTGATGTATACTAATGCTGCCGTAGGGAACAGAACGCTTTGCGACATGTGCCATTCGAAAGCGTTCCGCAAGCAGATACGTCACAAACATCAGGAGCACCGGACGATTGAACATCCCGAAGTAACTGAAGAAGCGGATGGTACTACATATTTATGATGGAGTCGCAAATTATATTTTTCATTTACATAATGTTTTCAATTTAACACTATTTTATGTTATTAAAATTTCAATATCTCTAACTATTCTTCCTACTAATAACTCTCTTTGACATAAATTAACAACACTAATTTTGTAAAGTACGATACAATATTTTCAATGTTTATTAGCACACAAGAAGACACTGTGGATTCATCAAAAATGACATTACTTCCTTATTTTCTTCAATTGTTTATTAGACAATTATTTTTGTGTATTTACCATTCCAACAAGATTGGATAAAATATTTTTATTATTTTTTTTATAGAGCAGTAGTACCAGTGCTTGTAGCTTTACAATAGTTGATATTATTAGTTGTATTATTTTATATTGTTTTTGTTTATTAGTAAATTTATCAATGAATATCTTCAACAGATAGTGATGAATGTGATCAATGTGCTGGCATCCTTGAAGAATTAGAAAATATTGATGATGATTGTGATCGACATGGCATAACATTTGTAAAAACACAGGTATGAAATTTGTGTATTATTATATACATTTTGTATTAAATTACATAACTAAATTTTTTAATAAAAAAATAGGATTTCAAAATTGCTGAAGACTATGGCGTGACAGACTTTCCAGTTTTAGTTTATTTTGAATCTCAAATTCCCAATGTCTTTGAAGGTGAGCTATCGGAAGAAGAAGAAGTTCTTCAGTGGCTCATTACACAAAGAACTGAAGATAGAATCGAGCTGATTACTCGAGTAATGCTTGAAGCTTCTGTTGAAGATACTCAATATCTAGCTGTATATTTTTGTAAGATATTTTACTAAAGAAATTAAGCTTATGAATTATTTGTCAATTAATTTTTTACAAACATTATTTCACTGATATAACATTTAGATAAAACAAACTGCCATATATGTGATGAAATCTTAGAAGGACTTGAACGAATAGATGATGAATGTGATGTTTTTGGGATTCAGTTGGTAAAAATTCATGATCCCCAGTTAGCAAAGAGATATTCCATTAAAACATTTCCAGCACTAGTATACTTTAGAAATGGCAATCCTTTGCTTTACGAAGGTAAATTGATCGATTTAATTTGAAATATTCATTACTAATGAACAATATGATTTTCAGGTGATTTGCAGAGTGAGGAATCAGTGTTAGAATGGTTAATTGACGATGATAACCGTGAATTAGCAGATGAAATTGAATCTGTTAATGAAAGAATGTTAGAACGACTACTCGATGAATCTCCATTTCTGGCAGTTTTCTTTTGTATGTCTTATACTCTATCAAGTGTTCGGGGAGAAACATTAAAATTATTATTCTAATAATTATCATCTTCATATGAATGATTAGATTCAATGCAGTTTAATCAGTTTAATATTAATTAATCAAGTTTAATTAGATTAAAAAGTCTTGTATCTTGTATCTAATCAGATTAAATGAGATGAAGATATTTTTCCCCGGAATATAGTGTAAATATGATAATTATATAAAGATATGTGTTTTATTTTATAAGATGACGAAGATTGCCCTGAATGCGATGAGATAATGGAGTCTCTGGAAAAAATAGACGGAGAAGCTGATCTTTTTGGAATAGATTTTGTGAAAATTTCAAGTCCTGAAACTGCTGAAAAGTATGGCATTATGAATTTGCCGTCTTTAACATATTTTAGGAAGAAAACACCTCTGATTTATGATGGTGATCTCACACAAGAGGATAAAATACTCGCTTGGTTAACATCGCAAGATGTGTTTGAAATTAAAAATGAAATTGAAGAGGTCAATAAAAAAATGCTTGATAAACTACTTGATGAAAATGAGTTCTTAGCTGTATTTTTCTGTAAGTTTTATTATGAAATTGTTTTATTTATAAAATAGTTTAAAATTTATATCAATAGGTATTGAAGATTAATAATATTAAGAAATATCTCTATTTAGATGAGCATCATCATAAAGAAAGCGAAGAGGTAGATAAAAAGTTAGAGATGATTGATGGTGAAACTGATAATTTGGATATCACATTTGTGAAAATGGCAGATCCACGTTATGCAAGAAAATGGGGTGTTACTAAATTGCCAGCTATTGTCTACTTTAGGAAAAGATTCCCTAGTATTTATAGAGGTAAAAATAAATATATTATATTAAAAAAGAAAAATGGTATAATAAATTTTATGTTATTAGGTGATCTTCATAAAGAGGATGAAGTACTAGAATGGTTAAGAAAAAATCGATTCCGCCAACCAGAACTTAATATTTACATGTACATGGTGATTATTATCACAATACTTTTTGCAATGTATACAGGTTTCCTTTTATCATGTTTTCGATCTGAACCAAATCCTGCACCAGTACCACATCAAAAACAAGCGTGAAAATAATAATTATTATAAAATTATTAAATATAATTCTTCTACCAGTATTTGGTAACATATACAAAAACACTACTAATATTCCAATATTTAAAACTTCAAGTCCAGATTGCCATAAATTTTATTAAAAAACCATACAAATTTTTTTAAATAGAATGATTATGCTAGTAAACATATGTAGTTTAAAACAGCAACGTTGACCAGGTTTTCATATTCATAATGAATTATTATTATCGTTATCGTTTATTTAAATATATAATGTCTTTTATGTTAATTTAAGTAATGTACTTGTCTAGTACATCTATTTTATTGTAATTTAATTGTTGCTAACGTTGTTGTTAATATCATTGTTATACTTTAATTTTTAATCATGTTTCACCTACATTCATTGTTAATATTTTTAAAGAAGGTCTCAAATTCTTTAAATAAATAACTCAGTTAATATCGCTGATTTTATTAATTTAAAATATTGTTGTTTATTTGATTGTGCTTAAAAAATATTTTAATATCAAACATGACGAGAAGTAATTTTGACATTGTTTAATAAGATATTAATAATAAAAAATCAGCTATATTGACAAAAATCTTATCAATATAAGATACTTCGAGGCCAACTATCAGTACTTGAATTTACCGATTATTGTGTATACATTATACAAATTATATATTAAACTTCTGGAAGATCTTGCTTATGAGCTCGATTTTAGTATAACTTATGCTCAACAGAACCAATTTATTCCATCTTATAATATGTACATAAATACAAGTTTTTAAATTTTACTCAGTGTTATAAATAATTGGATGGAAAATAAATTATCAAAAAGATCTTCAGATTATATTTGTTAGGTTTTTTTCCTGAAATAACTTTATCTATTAATTTATCAACGTAAATTCAAGTGTTATCATTTTACACGAGAGAACCAATTAACAAAAAGAGGATATGATAAATGTTACAATTGCAAAATTTTCTACGGTGATAATATATTCTCGTCAACATGAGCTTCATTACATAATAAACTTTGAGAGTAGTTAGTGAACTATAAAGATATCTGCTCGTAAAAAATAGTAAAAGTATCACGTATTAAACGAGCACATATTTTATTTTATAATTAACAATACAAGAAACTCAAAATGAAAGTAGCAGTTGTCGGAGGTGGAATAGTCGGATTAACAACAGCTATAGAATTGAACAAATACTTGAGAAATAGTGATATAACTGTAGTAGCAGCAGACTATGACGATATTGTGAGCTATGTAGCTGCAGGTCTTTTCAGAGTTGGACATTCATACTCTGGACCAACTGAAGAAATAACAAAAAAATGGATAAGTGACTCCTATTCATATTATGATAACATACGTAACAACTATAAACCTATTCACTCTGGAATAACTCAAAGTGCAATTTATATGTATTCAAATTCTAATGCTGACGTTGTTAAGGTCTGTTTATATTACAAAAAAAAACTATTAATTATGATCATATTAATTTGACTTAATTCGATATGAATAATTTGAAAATTTATCTTAACAGAATCCATTAATGGAATCAGTAGTTCCTATTTATAGAAATATAAAAGAAGATGAATTTAACCTTGTTGGTGGAAAATGGTCTTATGGTTCTTATTACACAACATTAATAATCCAAAGCAAATATCATCTTCCATGGGTCAAGAACCAGTAAGTAAGACGATATTATGAAGAATAGTAATTTAATTACTTATTAAATTAATCGTTTAACTTTTTGTCCAGATTAAAAGAAAAAGGAACATCATTTGTTACAAAGAAACTGGAGTCTTTGAAAGAATTAGTTGATGATTATGATTTAATATTTAACTGCTCAGGATTAGGAGCACGGAAGTTATGTAATGATCGAAAAATGATTCCAATTCGAGGACAAGTTATTCGAGTGCAAGCACCTTGGATAAAAGCAGTATATTATGGAGAATTAGATACATACATAATTCCTGGTGTTGATGGTACCTGTACCCTTGGTGGCACACGTAATTTTGAATCAACAAGAACAGCAGTTTGTCCATATGAAGCTGAATCTATACGTGAAAGGTGTGAAGAAATGCTTCCATCGTTAACTATGGCAAAGACTTTGGACTATGCTGTAGGACATCGACCTCATAGAGAAGGTGGAGTGAGAGTTGAAGTTGAAAAAATATCCAATGATCGTCGCAAAGTAAATGTAAGTTAATTATATACAAAACTATGATATTTACATATCTATTGAATTTCCTATTTACTGTGTTTATTTATAGGTAGTTCATAATTATGGACATGGTGGATATGGAGTCACAACTGCACCTGGAACTGCTAAATATGCTATTGAACTTGCTCGAGACTATCATAAAATTTCAGGTTCTAAATTATAGATTTTTTATTAAAATAAACATGAATAATTACTCTATTAAAGAATCGAACGAAAAGTTAGCATAACACCAGAATTCATTGGCAAGATTGTTTTTATGTTGAGGTTTAAATTTGCATTTTTTAACGTTTAATAGTTTTTCAACTAAGCCTGCCATAGTTGCACCTAATAAAAAAAATAAGCTATGCTAAAATGATTTCTCTTCCATTGGATCATTATTATATCATACATTTTGGTGAATAATATTACCTGTACAAATAAAGATATATTTTTTGGATAAAAATTTTACTGTCTCTGAAATTTTTTCAAGACATTCTTCGGAAAGAAATGGAGGATCAGCTATTACAAGATCAAAACCCTGAGACATGTCTTTAGGAATATCAAGTGGATTTTTGTAGTCATACCTAATAAAGTTAGGTTGATGTATCGAAAAACGCTCATCATATTCAAAAAGTTTTACTAAAACATTAAATAATCGATAATGAAAACTTTACTATAGAAATAAAAATATTATAAATTAATTACCTTGTCGAGCTTCTGCATGTTTTTTTAAAGATGGGTATAAAGTGGGACAAGAAATAAGAGCAATGCTATCATTATTTGTCGTGATTTTTAGAATTGCTTTAACAATTGTATCTACAGTCAAATCATCATACCAAAATTGACTTAATTGCTGCAATAAAACAATCATTCATTAATTATTTTCAAAAACCAAAACAAATTTTATCACGTGGATCTTTATAGGTTATAATTACTATCATTTACCCAATCTTCATCAAATATAATATTTGATGGTTCACCATCATCTTGATTGTTAAGTATTTGTTTTAATTGTTCGTCTTTTTGTTGTTGATCTGCATAAAATTCATTTAATGCAGCTAATGTAGAAGCACTTAATTGAGGTTCATCATCATCATCACTTTCAGTCATTTTTACATACGATTATTTGTATTCTAATAAAATATAATTTTTGTCACTTAAAACCTTGTAACATGTTATTTATTAAAAATTTAATTTATTGAAATAATCTATCCATATTAATTGATCATTGTCAAATACTTACTTATTCTTGCTGTAAATAAAACATCTAAAAATTACTATTTTGAACAAAAATTAGACATACTATGCCCTCTACTATAACTAAGATTTGGCGCACTTTTTAACAATTTTTATGTGTTTTTTCCACCAGCATTTAGGAGTTTTCAAAATGTATTACTCAAAAAAAATATTTATACTTAATGAAATATAGATTGAAAATAATAAAATGTTGCACTTTTATCATAGTAATTGTCAATAATAATAGTGTCTGGTATACGCCTTTACAAGAATGATTTCTACCGATATATTATCGAGCTTCTATTGATTGTTAAAATAGCCGGCTTCATGATTGAAGTGTATTAAGATGAGGCGCTGGTTTATGCGTAGTAAAGATATTGAAATCTCAATTTTTTTTAACTTACCGCCAGCTCTTCTATACTATGTATTATCTTCATCAAATGTTAACAATACCTCTCATAAATTACGATAATTCTTCATTTCATAGCCAGTAGTAATCAAGCATTTTAGCTTTGAATGATTCAGCTATTTTTTTAGATAACACACTTAGACAATTATTATTTAAGTAATTACAATTGTTTTTTAAAACTATTAGTAGTTAAAAGTAGAATCTTACTGTTTTCGTTGTAATTGAAGATATAAAAGAAACTCCAAAATGCAAAAAGTTATTATATTTGGTTCCACTGGTATGACAGGTCTGTGTGCTCTAGAAAGTGCAGTGAAACGAGGTAATATTTTATTTAAAATAATTAATTTAAAACTTTTTTTAAATTATGAATCACTAATAAGATTAATTACATAAGGTTTCCAAGTGACTGTGTTTGTGAGAGATGAGAAAAAAATTCCAGAGGAATACAAAGGAAAGGTAAATGTTGTAGTTGGAAATGTTACAAATGAAGATCAAGTAGATAAAGCTGTAGCCGGGCAAGAAGGAGTTGTTGTAGTGTTAGGAACTAGAAATGATTTGAGTAAGAATAATATTTTCTTTAACTCAATTGATTCCCTTAGATACATTTAAAAATTAAGTAACTATCTTAATGACTTTTATCAAATTAATAATTTTGTTTGTAGAGCCTACCACAGAGCTATCAGATGGATTAAAAAATATTATCAAAGCTATGAAAAAACACAAAGTCGAAATAATATCAGTGTGTTTATCAGCCTTTCTGTTTTGGCCTGTTGAAAAAGTTCCAAAACAATTCCATGATTTAAATGCTGATCATCAACGAATGTTTGATGCACTCAAGGAAAGCAATTTAAAATGGATAGCTGTTTTGCCACCTCATATTTCAGGTAATATAGAATAGAGTACTATAGTTCATCAGGTCAGCTCATTAATAGTTAATACTCATAAGATAAAATAAAAAATATCTTGTAGCTACTCCAAAATCTGAATACACTATTAAGCATGATGAATCACCTGGTCGTGTTATTTCGAAGTATGAGTTAGGAGAGTTTTTAGTTGAAAGTCTTGAGAAACCAGAACATTATCAAAAAGTTTGTGGCATTGCAACCAATCAAGGTAATATTAGGAGCATTCTTTTGGATAAACATTCATTGGATATTGAAAAATATATTATATTTTGAGGCTTAATTATTACAATATTTTAACCATATAGGTCTTGGAAGTAACAACAGTTGATTTTTTTGAGGAGAATAAACTTATTGGTAATGGAGGTGGAGGTGGACCGCAGGATTTTTTACTGATCAGAAAAGAACTCCGGTCTTGAGTGTGAGTAACCCAATTGTTACACTCCCATACATTTATGGGTTCACAAATGTTATAACCGTTTTTTAAATAAAACTTTTCTTGTCCTTTTGTTGCCAAATAAATACGTTTTATGCCTTTATTAATAACATATTCTTCTGTTTTACGTAGAAGCATTGAACCCAAACCTTGACTCCTGCATCCATAATCTATGACAACTGTAATAAATTAAGTTTTAATCTTTTTTATTCATATGAATGAAGCTTTGGTGTAGTTTACCTGATTCTATAAAACAACTGTTATCACGACTAGGCAACAATGAAACTTTACAATGACCAATAACTTTTGAATCATTTAAAAGTACTAAACATGTTGGAAACGATTCACATGACATACTTAACGTCCTCAATCTATAAGCCAGTTTTAAAAATAATAAGTTACAAAGTATTTAGCTAGAATTAAATTTTATAGTGAGATATAAATACCTTCTTCCCTCACTAGAAGGCCATTCCGAATTTATAAGTTTACAGCAATCCATTAACAAATCAGGTCGTTTATGTATAGGAATAACTGTATATTGTTCATTTTTTGCCATGTTTCTGTCAATGAATAAAAGTTTAATGAAAATATTGATATTAGTTAGTAACTTAAAACTATAAAAAAATTAAATTGAATAAAAACTCACATAATGCTGTTAATACCATTGGTCAAGACTCCCAAAGTCATCTTATTTTTTAATATTGTTAGATTATAGTTATTGATTAATGTTAACTAGTTGATATTAAAAGTTTGAAAGTATTCAGGAATATTACATATTTTTTAGGAACAATAGAAAAATAAATGAACATATTTATAACAAAATTTTATTGAAGCATTTTATAATTTATGTATAAGCACACAACCATTTAATGAAAATAATTTACACGTCACTCAAAAAAATAGGTTAAACTTTTTACAAACAAGAATTGACGAATTTTATATTTTCATACACTTTTTTTTATTTGTAGAAAATATAAAATAAGGTTAAGTGTATTAGCTTCTGTCTTACCACGACAACA